AAGAGGTTGTACCTGTGTGAGGGCACAGACACCACCGCCTATATTGTCGGGCTTACAATTTACCCCCTGCCCTGCTTATGCCTAGGTCCAGCACTCCTGGGGAGAAGACGAAGACACCAGCGATGCAGAAGTCTGGGGTCAGTGGGCCTCCTGGCCCGGGCCTGACCTGGCAAACGCCTCCATTGGTCCGGCTCTCCAGAACAGGTACATCTGAGGATCTGGACACTCCTCGGTCCCTTCCTCTGGGATGCCAGTTAACACGGCTGCTTCTGTGTCTCCAGGGCTGATGGAAGGTCTGAAGAAGCGACTGATGCCTGCCTGGTGTGCTCCGCTGGCCCACGGGCTCAGCCTGCTCCTGGTGGCCGTGGCTGTGGGCGTCTCAGGGTGGGTTGGTGCCAGCTTCCCCCCCAGCGTGAGTGTCATGTGGCTTCTCTCGAGCAGCTCCAGCTTCCTGGCCTCATTCCTTGGCTGGGAGCCACTGAAGGTGAGTTGGGCCAGCAAGGCTGGGGCTGCTAGTCTCAGGCTCCCTGGCTGATGCCACCCTTGCTCTAGGTCCTGCTGGAAGCCCTTTATTTCTCACTGGTGGCCAAGCGGCTACACCCTGATGAAGACGACACCCTGGTAGAGAGTCCGGCTGTGACGCCAGTGAGCGAGCGTGTGCCCCGTGTTCGGCCTCCCCATGGCTTTGCTCTCTTCCTGGCAAAGGAGGAAGCTCGAAAGGTCAAGAGGCTGCATAGCATGCTGAGGGTGAGCTCGGCTGCTTTCTTCCCCCGTTAGCTCCTGGGAAGCACACACTTGAACCTTACCTGTCCTTCTGTGACCACAGGGTACTTCAGTGGGTACTGTGCCTCTCCCTTGACCCCCTTGCATCATCCTTCACATCTGCCTCGCCTTCAGTGGCCTGTGTCTGCTCCAGGAGGGCATCTTACACTCTTCCTTAGTGCTAGACATGCTGCGCAGGGCAGTTTACTACCTAACATTCTGATGCCGTCCTGATATTGTGGGCTGCAGTCAGCTGACCATAGGGGTGTTACTGTCTCTCAGAGCCTCTTGATACACATGCTTTTCCTGCTGGTGACATTGTTGGCCAACTATGGGGATGCCTCCTGCCACAGCCATGCCTATCGTCTGCAGAGCGCCATCAGACAGGAGCTGGATAGCCAAGCTTTTCTGGCCATCACCAGGTAGGAACACCCCGGGACACACGTGTGTGTCTGTTGGGCCAAGGTGGCACTGATGCCCACTGGGGCCTGCTTTGATCTTGCCCTTAGCCCATCCTGTCCCTTAGGGGAATTTACAAATGTCTTGGATACATTTTGGTTGTTAGGCCTGGAGAGGGGCTACAGGCACATAGTGGGCAGCGATCAGGGAAATTGCTAAGTACCCTACAGTGCACAGGACAGCCTTAGGGTGGAGTTACCTGCCCCCAGTGCAGTGGGGAAGCCATGAGCTGGAGTGTGACTGTATCTGCTGCTGGTAGGTCTGATGAGTTCTGGCCATGGATGTCCCGCGTGCTGCTGCCCTACGTGCATGGGAACCAGTCCAGCCCTGAGCTGGGGCCCCCACGGCTGCGGCAGGTGCGGCTACAGGAAGGTGAGCTGGAGAACCTCTCCACCCTGTCCCTCTTCATAGCAGCCTACTGCTGAGTTTTGTTTCAGCTCTGCTGCATATGTGACCTTTCCTGTCCTCCTGCCTCAGTTACCTTTCTGAAAAAAGGGCCTAATAATTTCTGTGGGTTGCTGGGAGGATGCAGGGAGGTCACCTAGGACCTGTGCATTCTAGCACTCTGTCCAGACCCTCCCAGCCCTGGGGTGCATCTGTGCCCAGATGCAAGAGGCTTCAGCACCACTGACTACGGCATTGGCTGGCAGAGTGCAGCCCACAACAGCTCAGACACATGGAACTACTCTGTGCCTGACTTACTGGGGTGAGCAGAGCCCCTGCAGGTGGGAGGGTGGTTCCCCAGGGGATCCCTCAGCTGCCTCTCCAACCTGGCTCCCAGGTGCTTGTGGGCTTAGGGCCACTTAAACACTGCCCGGTCCTACAGCACCTGGTACTGGGGTTACTGTGCGGTGTACGACAGCGGTGGCTACGTGCAAGAACTGGGCCTGAGCCTGGAGGAAAGCCGTGCACGTCTGCGCTTCTTGCAGCAGCACAACTGGCTTGACAGCAAGTGAGTGCTGCCTGCCTTGACCTCCCTCCTGGCCTGCTCTCCTAGCTCTACCCCCATCCCGGCCTTTGGACTCCCCTGCCCCTACCCCTGCCCTCTTGTCCACTTGTCCACTTTAGCCTTGACCCACCGTGATGTCCGTGCTCTCCACGCAGGAGCCGTGCTGTGTTTGTGGAGCTCACACGCTACAGCCCAGCCGTAGGGCTGCATGCTTCTGTCACACTGCGCCTCGAGTTTCCTGCCGCCGGCCATGCCCTGGCAGCTCTCAGCGTCCGCCCATTTGCTCTGCTGCGCTTCAGCGCAGGTCTGTCCCTGCCACTGCTCACATCGGTATGTACTGCTCCTCCTACCGATGCCTCTCTGCAGCCCTGGGTCACCTCCTTACTGGGCCCAGCCCAAGTCCTGCTCCCATCTCTCTCCCAGGTGTGCCTGCTGCTGTTCGCACTGTACTTCTCCATGGCCGAGGCTCGAGCCTGGCGCAAGGAGGGCTGTGCACACGCCGCACAGCCTGGGGGCTGGGCACAGTGGCTCCTGGTGGCGCTGACAGCAACTGCAGCACTGGTACGTCTGGCCCAGCTAGGCACCGCTGACCGCCAGTGGACCCGCTTCCTGCACAGTCGGCCCCACTTCACCAGCTTTGACCAAGTGGCACAGCTAAGCACTGCAGCCCGTGGCCTGGCAGCTTTGCTGCTCTTCCTGCTTTTGGTCAAGGTGAGAGCCGGCTCGGGGCACAGGGCTGGGCCACACCCTGGTCTGCAGGCTGACGTTCCTTGTCCACAGACTGCCCAGCAGCTGCGGTTTGTGCGCCAGTGGTCTGTGTTTGGTAAGACCCTGTGCCGGGCCCTGCCGGAGCTCCTGGGGGCCACGCTGGGCTTGGTTATACTTGGAGCGGCCTACACCCAGCTGGCTGTCCTGGTAAGTAGCCATGCCTGGGTCCATGGGGAGGCCTCGTCCTGAGCACAGGCTCATTTCTGCCCCTGCCCTACAGCTCCTCTCCTCTTGCACGGATTTCCTCCACAACATGGTCCGGGCCCTCTTGGTGCTATGCCCTGGGTCCAGGGCTCCCACCCTGTGTCCGGGTGAGTCCTGGCACCTGTCCCCTCTGCTGTGCATGGGACTCTGGGCTCTGCGCCTGTGTGGAGCCCTGAGACTGGGTGCAGTCCTCCTTTGCTGGCGGTACCATTCTCTGCGGGGGGAGCTCTATCGCCCAGCCTGGGAACCCCAGGACTACGAGATGGTGGAACTCTTCCTGCGCAGGCTGCGCCTCTGGATGGGGTTCAGCAAGGTCAAGGAGGTGGGTACGGCCCAGTGGGGGGGAGAGGGACACACTCTGGGCCCATGAGCCCAGGGTGCAGTCGGACTGACTGAACCCCTGTGCCGCCCCCAGTTCCGCCACAAAGTCCGCTTTGAAGGGATGGAGCCGCTGCCCTCCCGATCCTCCAGGGGTTCCAAGTCTTCCCCAGAGGCACCCCCACCCAGTGGTTGCTCCGATGCGTCACACCCCTCCACCTCCTCCAGCCAGCTGGATGGACTGAATGCAGGCCCAGGCCGCCCAGGGCCCCAGGGGGAGCCTGAGCCAGAGCCCTCCCGCCTCCATGCTGTGTTCGAGGCTCTGCTCACCCAGTTTGACCGACTCAACCAGGCCACGGAGGACGTCTACCAGCTAGAGCGGCGGCTCCAAAGGCTTCAAGGCTGTGGGAGCTCCCGGTTTCCTGTGTCACCTCACCCTATCCCCTCCCCAAGCCGGAGGCCAGTCCTGCCCAGCCACCTTGCCCAGGCCAGTCCTGGCACGGACCTGGCTGTCGGCCCCAGCAGGACACCTCCGTGGGTCAAGAGCAAGGTCCACCCCAGCACTTAGCCCCAGGGTGCTTGGGTCATGCCCCTTCCTGGGGCAGGGCCTGTGGCTTTGCTCTGGCCCACAGGAGCCAGGGTAGACAATGCTCAGTATTACCTTCTGCCTCAAGGTCTCAGGCCAGGCAGAATGGCTACACACAGGTTCCCCAGAGAGCAGGCAGGATGGGTCTGTCTGTGGACTTCAGCACTTTAAAGAGGTTGTGTGACCAGCCAGGACCCAGGGTCCCCTCCCAGCTCCCTTGGGAGGCCACAGCAGTATTGGAACGAGCGAGTACCCAGCCTCCGACATGCTAATTTATTTCCCAAGTCCTCAGGTAGAGCGGGGCTGTGCCCAGTGCCACCCTGGGCAGCCTGCCTCCCTTGCTAAGGAACCAGGCTTCTGGGAGGGTAAGCTGCGCCTCCCTTCCCCACCCCTAAGTTATTACCTCTGCCTTGTCCCCACTGCACGCTCGCCTCCAGCTGCCATCCATTGTGTGTCTACCGTCACTAATTTATACGGGGTTAAAATGTATTTTTGTATGTTGCTATTTTTTTAGTACAGCCTAGGGGCCTGGTGGCTGAAGCTGAGTACCCTGGACCTCTATTGCCAGTGAGGGGGCCAGGGAAGCTGCAGCTGCTTTTTTGGATCCGAGTCTGACCTTGGGCAGGTGCTAGACGAATGTTTGGGGCCACAGCTCTACCCTGGTGTTCTTTTCACCACCTTGGCCTTGTTTTTCTCCCCCGCCTGGGGCTGGGGACAGATCCAGGCCTGCTGGTGACAGGTCTGGGCAAAGGACTTGCATGTGGTGAGAGATGCCAGGCAGGTAGGAGAAAGACCTCTCCTGGGGGCTGGCTCTCAGGTTGGGGCGGATGAGGGCATGAGGCCTGGGCAGTACCAAGGCACCACAGATGGAGAAGGGTGCGTGTCCCCAAGGGCCCTAGCTAGAGCTTTGATCCTGTCTCCAATCCTGCAAAATAGACAAAGTCAAATAAAGGAGCTGTCTGACTGCTACCTATGCCTGAGATAGAGGCAGTTTATTTCGTTTATACAAAATACCATCCAGTGTTGTTGGGGGCAACCAGGAAGAACCCTTGGCCTGAGCTCTGCCTCACACAAACTCTGTGAAGTCATCCACCGAGGAGATCAGGCGCTTCCGCTGGCCTGTCTCATAAGCAGGCATGGGTTCAGATGGGGCCTGGGCCGAGGCTTTGGCATGGGCTGGAGGCTGCATCAGAGGCAGGCTGGGGTTTGAGTACTGGGCTTCCTCGCGGATCTGTGGGGAGAAGGGGCTTCAGTGCCCAGCCTAGACAGGGTTAACACAGGCTCTGCCTGGGTTGGGCACTGCCCCCATGCCCATCAGCTGCACATCCCTAAGGGGCCCCTCTTCCCTACCCGGTGGCGGAGTCGCTTGATGTGGCGGAGCCGAGCAATCCACTTGGAGGGATAGATGTCCGTGGGGTTAGAGCGGCTGTGGTGCACCTGTGAGGCCATCTGGGGGCCAGGGGGCAGGACAGTGAGTCCTCCGGCCAGGGGCAGCACAGACCCACCTGGGCCCCTGGTCTTGCTTCTACTCACGTTTGCATGCAGGGCCATCTGGCGGGCCACAAAGGGCAGGTTACGGTCAGACACAATCTTGGCCACACTGGTATCCACCAGGCCCTCCATGTCTGAGGAGATACAGCGCTCACACCAAACTCAGGGCCCTGTTACTCACTCCCTGCCCACCCATCCCAGGCCACACCTTTCCTGCACTGCAGTGACAGCAGGTTGCACTCGTAGTCCAGGGGTGTGATGATCACGTGGACGAAGTTGAACTGGCCCTGCCAGACAAGAGGGTCCTCCTGGCCTGAGCTCATCCTGAGGGCTCAGGAAGGGCTCACTGGTGTGTCACATACTTGTCACCTGCCTCACGCCTGGATCCCAGGCCTGGAATGTGCCAAGGGCTGTAGGCACTCGGACCCTGCCTGAGCACTGGGACCGAGAGCTCAACAGAGTGGCACGTCTGAGGCTGGCTGCCTCCCACCGTGACTGAGCCAGGCCCTGTGTCTCAGTGGGTCACGCTGTCCTCCTCGGTTTCTCCTGGAGTCCCTCTTCCCTTTGCTTGTTGTGGAAATGTCTCCTGGATGGCCATGCTAGCCTTCACACAAATACCCTCCCCCTCCCAGGTTCCTGGCCCAGGGTCCTCCAAGGCTTCTGGGGACATTGTGAAATTAACCCACACACCCTCGAGCCTGTCACTTCAACTCAGAGTCCACTGTGACTAAGCCTCCTCTTCTGTGTGTGACCTCTCCTGGGACTTGGGTGACACTGCTGTATAAAAACATCCTGGTCAGAGGGGTCCAGGAAGTGCTGAAGATTACAGCTCCACAAGGGCAGCTCTAAGCAGACATTAAGCACCTACGAGGTGCTGCACATCTTGCTAGGCACATGCTGGGTAACTCCTGACAAGGGCCACTGTACAGATGAGGAAACAGGCCTAGAGAAGTCAAGACTTGGGACCGTGTCACGGTGTCACCGATAAGCCTCTCCTAGTGGACAGGGATGTCATCTTAACGGCTTAGGAAGGGGACCTCCAGATAGACCAGGGGACACCTCTCCAGATGGCCTCAGTCTCCATCCCAAGGGTGGGGCCTTGGACACCCAGAGACAGAGGCACAGCTTACCTTGATGGTGCCCAGCTTGAATTCCTCACCAGAGTCATTGTAGATGATGGAAACAAAGTCATTACCCAGGTGCCGCTTCTTATCACAGCGGTGTTTGTCCATATCCTTGGTAGGCATCAGCGTGGCGATGTGAAAGACAGCTGCAGAGGAACGAGGCTGAGCTGGGTGCTGCGCACAACCCTAGGGGAATGTCTGGGGCTGGGCCTGGCACAGACCAAGCCTCTGCCTCTCTGCTGAGCACCCTTTGGTTTCTCTGGTGACTGAGGGCCTGCAGGGAGCACCTGGGCAGCAGCTCTGGGCTCCTTCCAAGGGCAGAGCCAAAGCCTCCATGCTCAGGTTGTGACACCTCAGTCATCACAGGCAGTAGGGGCCACCAGAGACCACTGCATACCTTGCATGATGTCGTCATGCCAGCAGTAGGTGAACTGGCCGTCCTCACCACATACATCGAGGCCACCCAGGTACACCTTGTCAGGCTGGCAGTCCTTGAGTTCAATGAGCCTGCCTAGGCCCGTCAGGAACTCTGTGTACCTGTAGGAGCCATGCTCATTGGAGAGGATGGCCAGCTCGCTGCTGCTCTGTGGGAGGGCCAAAGGAGCTCTGTCATCATCCCTGCCTGATGCAGGGCAAATACATGCTGACAACTGTCCAGGCTGGACGGGGATCATCCTGGGCTCCTGCCTTCCTAACCACCCTAATGTCAGCTCTCTTTTCCTAAGACATTCAACTCCAGCACTACTCAGCAACCCAGCACCCCCCCCCCTTGGCTTGCTCCTCTCTTGCCTGGACTGTCACCACCCAACTCCACAAGCAAGAAGAGATGTCTGCCAAGCACCAGGGGCACTGCAGGGAACCTTTGGCTCAGAGCCACCCAGTGCCATGCCCGCAGTGCCCCCCATGGTTACTCGGGGCGCCCACCCTAGGGCCTCTGCATTCACTGCTGTAGCACACAGTCCAGCAGTCCTTACTGCTCTGGCCCAGTGATGACAAACGACAGGAGGCTATGCTGCTAGGAAGATGAGAACCCAGACTCCCAAAACCAGGAGGGTGGCCGGCAGCCTCACCTGGCCTTCTCCCACGTACAGGACAGCAATCTTGTGTGTGTCGTAGGACGGGATCTGGTCAAGCAGCTGCACTGACCGTTCGAAGGCCTGTAGTCACACACAGCCTGTCTGAGCCCAGGCAGAGGTCCGCCAGCCCGGCCATGCTCAGAGCCCCGGTGGGGAGGGCAGACACTGCCTACCTCATTGGGCAGTAGGATGGGCTTGTTGGACTCGTCTCCAAAGAAAGGTGAATGGTAGAGCTGCAGGAACACAAAGCTGTGGGGCAGCAGGGGTGAGGCAGGGGCTGGCGGCAGGCCCCAGGGGGAAGCCTCACGGCCAACGAGCCACCTCCCTCTGGCTCCCTCCTAGCTGCACTGTCCAGGGTGGCTTTGGCGCCACATCTCTGGGCACCGTGCAAGAACCCAGCCAGCAAGGAGAGGCCCACCTGGGGTTGATGCCTGGTACTTTCTCAGTGTTGGAGGTGGCAGCTCTGTTTTTGAAGGCATCCCTCTCTACTCTCTTGCCCCTGCGTGATGGAGCAGAGTCCGAGATGGTGTAGCCTCGGGGGCGGGGGCCGCTGGGAGAGCAGGGAGAGCTGGATGGCAAGGGACCCTCGGGCGGAGCTGCACCCCGGCTCTCTCCACCTGTAGCTGACCAGGCAGCAACCTCCCCATCCAGTATCCCTGACTGGGATCGGGCCTTGGCCTCAGGACTCAACTGGCCAATGTCAGCCTTGTCCCCAGGGTCTCCGAGGATGTCCTGCAGAGTCTGCAGCTCAGGAGAGGAGCTGGACTTGCTCAGGGGCTGTGAGGGCTGGAAGGAGAGGTCCACCAAGGGCCGGCCACCCTCAGAAGAGACAGCCCGCTCGATGGGTATGCCCCCTGCAGCCAGCTCCTCCACGTGGGACTTCTCCTCCTGGCTGGAGGCTGAGGATGACTGCAAAAGGCCATCCAAAGTTGTCCATCAGGTCCCTTGGAGGCACCTTCCATCCCCAAGCTGTCACCACCATCCCTGGGCCCATGCTGAGTGAGGAGCAAAGAATTCCAAAGCCTGAAAGAGCCACACCATAAGGGCCTCCTGGGGACACTCTGAGCAGGAGGGACATAAAACAGGCGGCCATCTCTCAAATAAGACAGGATAAGGCCTACGCATTCTTAGCGGGGCCAGGGCAGGGGTCACATCCCTTACCCTTCATCCTCCTGGTGGCTCAGGGCTGACCCCTGGGCCCCTTATGGCACTCACCCTGCTGTAAGTGCCAGGGCGCTGGCAGCGCCTGTCTGCACTTAACGCTGCTTCGAAGTCCTCCGACTCTGGGGGCTCCCCTGGCATGTGAGCCTCGCCCGGACTTCCTTCCTCCAGGACCACTGCTGAGTCTGGGAGGACACAGATGGGGCTTGCTAGGTGCTAGGCTGGGCCCTCGTGCTCAGTGGCCTTAGAACACCAGCCTTATTCCTGCCAGAGAGGACAGTGGCCCTGCAGAGCCTCCCTGCAGCTCTGCCCACCGCTGCCACCATGGCCCTGGATGAGGAAGGACACTGAGCAGCTGGTGTCTCTTGTGCGGCTGCTAGGGCTCAATAGGTACCAGCTCTGCCCACCCAGTGTCCATTTGAAACTGCCTCTACACCTCCAGCCAGTCAAGGGCAGGACAAGCAAGGAGCCTCACTCGAGCCTCAGCTAGGGAGGGGCACAGTAGCTCAGAACAGCCCTCAAAGACAAGGAAAGGGGCTGTTTCTCCAGGACTCTGGGCCAAAGGAAGAAGCTGATGGAGACATCCCCATCTGCAAGCAGACTCTGAGACCAGAGGCTAGCCTTCAAATCCCAGCCAGGCCTGCAGCAGGGCACGCAAGGGAGAGAGGGCTGTGGTCGCCAAGCTGAGTTTCCGGAACCAGCCTTGGGGATAGGGTGTAGGGGAGAAGCAATGGAGGTCAGCACAGCCTGCGACACCCCCTCCCCACCACTGGCCACAGCCCCTGCACACACACACGCCAGAAAGACCCCATCTGCACACAGCCCTCGTGATTGGCTTCTACCAACACTGGGGATAGCAGAAGCCCAGGACAACAGGCCAGGTGCTGGTCTGCAGGGCCTGTGATGATGGCACACATGGTCCAATCCACGGGCTCACAAAGCCAAGATGACTACTGATAGCCAAGGCAGGGTCAGCGGAGCCCCAGGGCAGGGCTCAACCCCCACCAGCTGCCATCAAGGAGACTCGGGACTATTCCACCTCCAGGGCTGAAGGGCTGGGAGACCTCGCACAGTCGGGAGCAGAGCTCAGCACAAAGGGGAACACATCAAAGGGGCTCCCATGGCAGAGCAAAGATGTCCTCATGCCAATCAGAACCCTGCTCCCCCAGGGCGATGAGAGGTGCAGACAGGGCCATGGAGGGATGACCAGATGAGGGATGATGAGAAAAAACAGTGCCTATGAGGCCAAGTGGCGCTCTGCAGCAAACACTGCTTCCTCAAAGGGGTGCACGAATACCTGCCCAGGAAATGCTCCTGTGCAGCTGTCCTTGGCAGGTGGACTGGTACAGGGAGGAGAAAGAGGCCACTGCAAGGGAACCACGTGAGCGGCCACGTCAGCAGCAGAGACTACACACAGGCCGAGCAGGACAGGCACAGCCCCGAGCCTGGAGAGGAGAGAGGGGAGGGCCAGCGGCCACCAGGCCGGCACACTTGGGCTCCCGGCTCTCTAAGCTGCTTGTGTGGACCTTTGGGAGGGCAGCGCTTCCCAGCTCCTCACAGGTGGACGTGGAGCCTCTAATCTGTGGCCACAGAGAAGGGGCACAGGAGCACAGTCTGAGGCATCCCAAGCAAGTTGGGCAGGAGGTATGGTTTCCTCAGGGCCTCCTGAGGCCCCAAGCACTGGGCCCCAGAGGGTACCGGCAATGGCTCCATCTGTTCATGATGCTGCCATCCCCGCAGCATCTGGATGGCAGCCAGCTGATGTCAGACTCCAAGGCACAGGTCCTTAAGCACAAGAGAACCTGCTCCCAAATGACACGGCCCTAAGCGCTGGCACAACCCTTGAGGATGATGGGGTTAAGAGGCCACCAAACAAGGAGCCCAGGGCCCCACGCTGACCACAGCCCCGTACACAGGCCTACGTGCTCACCCGTATTAGACCGTGGGAGAGGAGGGGGCTTGGCTGTGCCGGCCGCTGGCACGGACAGTGACTTGTACAAGGCAGTGTCCCGGTGCTCTTTGAAGCGCTCAGCAGCCATGAGGGCGTTGGACAGCTCCTGCAGGGGCATGTTGTTGATGTCTGAGGAGAAGGGGCTGAGTGGGTTCTCCAGGCTCATCAGCCAGCTGGTGTTCCCTGGGGAGGGCAGTGGGCACCCTCAGGCCTCTGCCTACAACGAGCCATCACCCCCCCAGCCCTCCCAGAGCAGCCTCCACCTGAACCGGCCCCCAGAGCACGCACCAGGAGTAGATGAGGTAGTATGTACGCTACCGCCCCAGGTCAGTGTCCTTGTCAAGGCCAGGCAGGCCAGGTGAGGGGAACACACTGCAGGGCAGCAGCCTCCTGCTCCACAGCCTGCAATCCAGTGCCCTGATCCCCTCTCCTACTGCTTGGTCCCGTGTCCATGGCACCTCCCGGGCTCTAGGCCTCTCTGATAAGTCCTTCCTTTTGGCCGAGAGGCCTGTTATTTACATATTACTTTTGGTTCTCCGAGACAGGGTCTCACTGTACAGTCCAGACTCACCTTGAGTTCACAGTCCTCCTGCCTCAGCCTCCTGAGTGCTGGGCTTGTGCCATCCTATCTGACTTGTGTTTTGCTCTGCAGCACTGAGACTGAACCCAGGGCCACCACACTGAGCCACACCCTCAGTCCCTCTCCCTCTCTGACAGTTGCTCGGGTTGTCCCTGAACCTGCAATCCTCGTCTCAGCCTCCCAAGTGTTAGGACTACGGGTAGAGGTCGGTTTGTGCCACTATGACCAGCAGGCAGGTGCTGTTATCACCCCGGTTGAGTTACACCCCCACCCCAGTTCCTAACACCCAAGACCTCAGAATGTGACTGCGTATAGAAACTCGATCTTCAAAGAGGTGATCAACTACAATGAGGTCACATGGCGGGCCCAAGTCCAATCTGACTGGTGTCCTCTAAAAAGAGATTAGGACAGAGGACCACATCAGGACACAGGGAGAAGGCAGTGTCCACAAGCCCAGGAGGGAGGCCTCAGGAGAAACTGGCCCTGTACACACCCTAACCTCAGCTTCCAGCCTCCAGATGGACAAGAAAGCCCCGTACCACAGACTATCTAGCTTGGTACTCCGCTAACACAAGCCTCCCTTTGGCCTCTGCAGATCCAGCTGTAAGGTCACCTCCTAAATGCCTTGTGCCCACTACTGTGTTCATCCACAGGCCTGTGGGTAATTCATGGGGGCCTGGGCATGAGCACAGACACTGGGCAGCCTAGCCTGTGTACCCCCTCAGTACCTGTGGGCCTCCGGACCAAGATCTCTGCCCAGCCCTGGGTCAGCAGTGGCACATAGGCTGCTAGGTTCGTCTTCTCTGGTGCTAAAACCCGGGCACCTGCAGAAGTCTGCTCAGGCTTTGTGGCTGGTGTGGTCTGCAGTCCCGGAGAAGCAGGGCCACCTGTGGTGTGGAGGGCCGGTGCGTCCATGGTACCAACCCGAAGGCCATGGCCCCCTATGGAGTATTGGGAGGAAGGGCTAGTGACCACCAGGTGCCTAATACAAAGCTGCCAGTACAGAGCTGGCCACTCTACCCAGCATCTGGCCAGGCTGGAAGCACCAGGCCAGAGCCTAGAGGGAGCCAAGACAGTGGCAGCTCGGCCCCCTGGGCCTGGTTCCTGGTCCCTGGTCCCTGGTCTTAGCCCAGGGCAGCAGAAGGGGCCCTAGCTGCTCCACTTGAGCACAGGAGAAAAAGCTCTGGGGTGAGCTTGCCTGGGGGTCAGAATGAACAACCATACAACAGCAGCCTGTCAGCTGCAGGGGGCCTCACTCCACTGTTGAGGTGCTGTCCCTCCCAATGGCCCAAGACAGCATGACACAAGAATGCCACCCAGGGTCACTGAGAAGGGGCCAGCCTCAAGCTGACCCCTGACCCTTAGCACCACGGGACACTCCTGAACATTGGGCCAGCAGAGGGGCGCTGGGTACCTGGCTAAGGAGGCAGCAAGGGCTGAGGCTCACCAGACATGGAGCGGACACGGTCCCGGCCCCCACTGGACACCTGCTGCCCAGCCTGGGACTCCAGCTTTGCAGGCGCCTCCTTGGTCTGTCTTATGTGTACACCAGATTCGGAGCTGAGGATGTAAGTGCCCCACACAGTGTCAGTGACAGCCTCCTGGGTCTCCAGGCCAGCAGGGCACACAGAGGGAAGGAGTTGTCACCTTGACTCTGGGCCACCCTGTAGCTCGCCTGAGTCCAGGCCCAGCAATGAGCGGGTCCCGGCCCCAACACTCGTTGTCACGGTGACAAGCTTATTCCCAACCAGCCAGGTTTTGGTCCTGCCACCTGCTAGGAGGAACTCTCCTACAGGAGACCTGGAAGCACAAAAGCACCCACTTCAGCTTGGAGGAACGTTGAGACCTCAGGAGCCACAAGAGCTGAGGCCCAGCCACCCGAAGAAAGGAGGCCTACCCAGCTGATGTGCCACCACCACGCAGAAGTGGTGTGGCCACAGTAAAACAGCCATACAACTGCCCTTGCCACCCCTGAACCCAACTCTGGAGCACAGCTCACACCTCTTGGGGACTGCGGTGAAGTTGGAGAACACATATCGGGCCATCATGTCCAGACACGTTTCCGTGAGCTCCAAGTGGAGATTTTTCAAGTTGTCATCAGCCTGGGCCATGGAGTTCTCATCTGCAGACCCAAGGCTAGCACTAGTGAGAGAGGTCTGTATTCTGCTGGAGGGAGAGGGCACAGCCAGGATCAGGGTGCTGGGCAGGGGCCAAGCCACCTATCACCAAGGCCAAAAGCTCAACGCATGCAGGGCGGAGAGGCCTGGCTCAGAAAGACCCCACCAGGGCCAAGGCACAGCAGTCCATGGAACTGCAGCACTGGAAACTGCAAGGACCACATCATCCCAGAGGGAGGCACTTCATGGGAAAGACCCACGCCCTTTGGTCAGAAATACGAGACTAGTGAAACAGGGCATCCCTTCTGCCCGAGCACACAGGAGAGTTAGTCGTGGCTGTGGCAGAACAACTTAGTCATGCAGACTTGGAAACCATGGGGGACAGAGCAAGATTGCATTCTGCCCACAGGGCCACCTCCCATCAAGGACATGGAGGGGCTGGGCTTCACATGTAGCTTTCTGCCCTCAAGCTCCAGCCAGGTGAGCCAGGGCTGTTTACTGCCCAGCTCTACATACACCCAAGGACAGGGGAAGGGCTTGTGCAGGTTAAATTCTGGTGTGAGTATCATGTCGGGGATTTAGCTCAGTGGTTCCGCCGCCTGCCTCACAAGCGCAAGGTCCTGAGTTCGATCCCCAGTACCCCCCCCGCAAAAAAACCGGTATGAGTATCACAATCAGAGCCATATTTTGCTCATAAAGGCTTTGCTAAAAAAACTGAGGGGGGAGTGTCACCAAGCACCCTCCACCCCAAACTCCTGACCAAGTCCCACAGGAAAGGCTGGAGCCCAAGTCTGCATTAGCAAAGAGCTGGGTCAGTGTGGGCTAAGGCTGGGGAGGGACTTCCCGGAGCTGAGACAGGCGTGCTCTCTGGTAGTGCAGCCTGAGCAGCAGGGGTTATTACAGGCAGGCAGCTGCTGGGATGCTGGCAACCAAGAACTGGCACCCTGATCTGGACGCCAGAAGAACTGACTAGGACTGTGCTGGGGCCCAGTCAGCAACCCCAGGGTGCCCCGCGCCACCCCTCAGCCCTACACAAAAGCCCAACTCCCAGCTACAACAGAGAGCAGACTTTTCCTAGAACAAAGCCCAAGAAGAAAAGTCCACTCTGCAGAATGTGACAAGGCTAAACCTGACCTGAGAGACCATGTCTCCACCAACCTGCATGGGCGCTGCTTTAATTTGCAGAAGCCCTTGCCCTCCAGGGATAAGCCTGTGCCAGCTGACACTGGCTTCGGGCTTCCTTGAGCAGCCACCCAGGCCAGCCTCTGAGGATGCTACGCAGCCAGCCCGTGCTCACATGGGGCTCAGGGACAGAATGCAACCTTTCCACCCCTCAGAACCAAGCTTCCTGGGCGGGAGGGGGCAGGCTCTTCTCCAGCCCTTGCCAAGGAGGGTGCGGGCAGGGCAGGTGACGAGGTCATGCAAGCAGCTCCATGCACCGCCACCCGGGTGCTCACGGGGCCAAGCTCCAGGGTCTGTGCCCCCCACCCAACACAGCCCCACTACCTGCGGACCACATGTTCAGACACACTGATGCTGCGGCACCGGAAGGCCTCGGCTGCAGAGCTCTCCTTGAATTCTTTCACGGGTGGGGAGTTATTCAGGCCTTGTTTGGGGGCTCTGGCTATCCTCAAACTACCGGGCGAGGAAGGAAGCCCCAAGCCCCAGAGAGCCCAGCTCCCGGGAAGGGGAGAACAAGCCATGGAGGGGTGAGGAAGTAAGGTCCCAGGCCACAGGGTCAGGATGGAGACATCCCATGGGTGAGTGAACAAAAGAACCATGCCAAAGGACAGTTAGCAAGAAAAGAGACAGAAAACAAAAATGCATAAAAATACAACTTGTAAACGCCGACTGAGAAAAAGTAAGGTTTCACGCATGATACCAAAACAAAGGACACTAGCGCAACTTAGATGTGCGTGGTTTGCCCGAACGGCAGGTTCCAGGCTATGCTGGCCAGGCATCCCCACCCACCTGGTGGATGGCTGGCACCCCTGCTCTGGGACCGGAGGCACTGACTCCTTGACAGCCAGGCCCCAGGGGTCACTGAGAACGAGGCAAGCTCTGAGTTTGAGGCCCAAGAGCCACGGAGAAAATGCTCGTTCCACCCACTGCTGGCAAAGCTTCTACCTCGAGCCCCCTGGGCTCGAGCAAGTTTTCTAAGTGCAGGTCATACTGGAAAGTGCCGTATCCCACCTAGGGAGAGCTGAGAAAGCTGTGCAGGGGTGGGGACAGGCGGAAGAGCCGTTCAGTGATGTGCAAACAAGAACACAGAGGCCTAGCACAGCTCTTTTCAGACTTAGCACAAGCAGCTGTGGTGGTCAAGAACAGCGTGTCCCCTGACGAGCAAGCTCTGGAGGAAAAAGGGCACCCTGTCTGGAGCCTGGGCTAACCAGAGGCCCCAGGGCCGAGGAGGGTACAGCCAGGGGCTACCTCTGCCCAGGCTGTGAGCGAGCCTGGATCCTTCAGTGCAGTAGACCTAAACCTGAACACCTACAGCTAGCATCCTGATCCCCAACTCAGCAACTCTGTACTTGTGGCCCAGGCAAGTTGAGACAGGCCAGCATGGCAAGAGTGGGGCAGGAGTGGCCCTGCAGACCTGCCCTGCCTCTCAAACCCAGGGGCCTTTGAGCCACAGCATACCTTCAGCCCCAGACCAATACACACCGCACAGGTCAGAGGTCACAGCCTGGATCCCACCCCACATGATACCGGGCATTCCCCAGCAGGGATTCCAGGCCCCGAACCTTTTAGGCCTCTCATTGAGGCTAGTGCTCCGTGCTCTGAAGCTGTCCTTCTCAGGGGTGTCATCGAAAGACAGGAGGACATTGGAGCGTAGACCCTAAAGTGAAGCAGACCCAAGCTGTGAGGAGGCCCATGAACAAGAAGGCCCGGGACAAGCTGCGGGTCCAGGACAAGGTGGCAACCTCCCTAAGCCCCATGCTCACCTCAAATGAAGTCCGATGGGCTGGGCTCAGCAGAGCCCCAAACAATCCCCACTTCCCTCCCTCCCACCCAATCCCCTGCTCCAGCCACTGACAAGTCCTGGCTCTAACAGAGACACAGGCCTCCCTGGCTCTTGAGCTAACCTTAGTGATAAATGGGACAAAATCTTTCCGGAAGGGCAGGCGGCACCTAATGAACCACATGGCTATGACGTGATGCGCCAGGCACACGATGTACTGATTGAATCTGGGAAAGAAGAAGGGGGAACTGTCCAGGATCCAGAGGCACAAAGCAGAGGTCCTAGGGCTCAGTGACTCCAGGACTCAGTGTGCTTTTCAGCTCCAAGAGGTGAGGACTAGCCATGGCAGGACGGGCAGAGCTTGGGCGACCAGCACTTACTTGGAGGGGTTGGTGTAGGGCAGCGAGATAGCAAACACACTTGCGTACTGTTCAGCGGCAAAGTTCCTGTAGAGGTGGGGCAGCCTGGCCAGAGCTGCAAGGCAAGGACACACTCTTCAGGGGGACCCAGGACAGTCTGCAGGTTGGGTGCAGTACCGAGCAGTCACCAGGGTCCCATGTTTTATTTATAAAGGCCAGGGCACAGCTCCTTTGGCCTGACAGAGAAGCCGCGGCCACCCAAATGTGACCTTCCTAATTCTGGCCTTTGCTTTCTCCACACTAGGGAATGGCAAACTACAGTTCCTATGCCAAATCCAGCTAGTGGCCTATACTAGTATAACCCGGAAGCTATAAACTTTTCTTTCAAAATTAGGAATTGAACCCTAGGCATTTGCAGTAAGCCACATACCTAGTTCTTTGTTTTGTTTTGAGACAGGGTCTTGCTATGTAGTTCAGGCTGGTCTTAAACTAATTACATGGGGATTCTTTTGCCTCAGCCTCCAAGAGTGCTTGTATTATAAGCCCGCCTACCACACCCAACTGTTTTTATACTTTGCAAGGTAGTAAGCAAAATAAAAGAAAATGTAACAGGGGCCCTGTCAGACCCACATCACTCTCTCTGGCCCTCCCTACCAAGTGCCAGCAAAGCTCTGTTCTGGTCTCAACACCTCAGGACCTGCTGCCGGCCAGACACGTACCACGTGACGGAAATGAAGGCACAGGTGAAGGAGCCTGAACTCCTGGGAGATGGATGGACAAAGGATGATGATGTCAAGGGGGGGACAGATAAAGGACAGTGAGATGACAAAACCAAGATATGGGCCAGGCATGATGCCGCACGTCTATCATCCCAGCTCTTGGGAGAATTGCTGCAAGCTCCAGGCCAGCCTGAACTACACAGTGAGACTCTGGTTCAAACAAAAAACACGCTGAGGTGCTAGGGCTCTGGGATGGGGTGGGACTAAAACAGTATCCTTCTGGGGGATACTTCTGACGCAGGGGTTAGGGGAGGAGCAGCTTGTCTAAGGATGGGCTCCCCGGGGAAAGTCGGCATGGGATACTGCAAGCAGGCCCAGCCCCACCCCAAGGCCCCTACATACTTGGCCCTGTGTACACACTCACTGGATAGAAACTCTAGGAGAGGGACAGCCATGCTGGCCGTGGCAGAGATGTGTGTGAGCTTCACCACCAGGACGGGCAGCGCCTTGATCATGATGTCAGGCATTTCCACACTGCAGATGGCCAGGGCCACCACACACTGGCTGGCACAGCGGTAGATGAGGCCTTGCTCCAGGCAGTAAACCATCTCACGCTGTGGGAAGCAAGAGCCTCAGGGCCTACCTGCCACCAGCCAGCCACAGTCCTCCGCCCACAGGGACAGCCAGGCCCCCGGGCAACACCTGGTTCCCACCCTGCTAGGCATTCCCAGGCCTAGTCTCCCCTTGGCTAATTCTGGAGTACTCCGTGGGGAGGAAGGGCTAAGGGTTAGGAAGGTCTCTGAACACCTAAGGGGCAAAGCTTGCCACTAGCGAGGCCACCATGGCAGACTGCACAAGGCTTCCTAACCCAACCCCCTGGCCACCAGGACACAGCTCCCCAGCCCACCCTGGAAGCATGGTGTGCTGGTCCCCTGGGCCCCTTGCTTCTGAGAGCCCCGCACGTTTGACCGTGCTGCTAAAGGGAAGTGCTGTCTGAGGCAGCAATGCTGCGGGACCCCACATCCAGTCCTGGCAGTGTCCTCTGAGAAGGCAGCAGCAAAATGATAGCTAAGGTCACGGCCTAGGGGCCCAACACCCCAGGAACAGTTCCTTCAGAAAGATAGTACCCCTCACAAACACCAGAGGCCCAGTAGAGCTCAGACAACCTTCAGCCCAGCACCCTTTGATGGAAGGCTAGTAGAAGAAGGCTGAGCCATAAAGGAGGGGCTAGAGCGCATTCCGATGGGGCTAAGGGCTTTTAAAGTAGGCCTATAGGGTGTAGAGCTCTGTGTTAGTTCCTGACAGTGCTACAGTCAGGAATGTGGGCTCAAGGGAAAGGCCAACCGAGCCTGAGGCTAAGTCCCTCTCCTGATTGCTGGGACCTTGATCAGGCACCTGACCACATAAGAATTGTTTTTCCTACGCTCTCTTTAGCAACACCGAGTAAGGCTTGTGTTTCCTCACCGAGAGATGCTAGGGCTCCAAATGAGACTGAGGATGATGGCAATAGCATGCCTGTGTGCGTGTGTGTGCGTCTGTCTGTGTCTGTGTGACAGAAAAGAGCACTGCTGTGCTTTCCGCATTTAACTGGGGGCGTGGAAGGAAAAGAAAGCTAAGGAGCTCCAGCCTGCCCATCACTTCTCACACCCAGCCTGGCCACCCTGTCCCAGAACTGCTGCAGGGACAGGTCAGGGAATGCTCCTCAAAGGAAGGGATACTGCTGAAGAGGGGAGGGTGGAAGGACACATTTAAGAGCTGCGCTAGGGCCAGGGATCTAGCTCAGTGGTTCCACTGCCTGCTTCGCAAGCACAAGGACCTGAGTTGGATCCCCAGTACCAAAAAACAAAAACAAAACTACACTAAAGTCCAGAACCCCAGAGAGAATTTGGGGGCACCAGGAGCTACAGATGCCTGAAGTTCTGGGCAGGTTGGCAGGTAGGGGTCCAGTGGTCACAAGGGGAAGCAAAGCCAGTTCATCTCACACTGTCCTAGCAGCCAATTTTCAAATCTCAAGCACCACGAGGGTCCCCGGTCCTCCCACTTCACACCTGTTTGGTCTTGTCCAAGTAGTTATGGTAAGAGATCAACACCGTCAGAACAGGAACCACAGCCAAGTGCAGGTCAGTTCTGGAGAAGCCTTCTGGGGTGCCTCGGAGGCGCTCAAGGGTCTTTGGGCCTGAAAGCTAATGACCAAGACCCATTTGTGAAGCCCCTGAGCAAATCCCATGGGTAGCGGGAGGGTGTCGGGAAGGCCATGAGAGCCAAGAGTATAGAAGGAGCAGGGCAAACGCCTGTCATCCTAGCACTTGGGGAGCTGAAGCACGAGGGTCACAACAAATTTCAGCCGAGCCTAGGCAGTTTAGTGGGACTGTCTCAAAATGAAATAAAGAAAATAATAAAAAGGTTGGGATGTAACTCAGTGCAAAGGCCCTGGGTTCAATCCCCCACACCAAAGGAAAAATAAAGATGGGAGGCCACTGTTTCCTTTCCTGGCAGGGATCTGCCTTTTCAGAAAAGTGGGACAGTACCACCTCTTGATAGGTGAGAGGCAGAGACATGACCTGAACGTGCAGGAGAGAAGAGAGAGGACATTCCTGCTCAGTTATATATAGGAATCATTGATGCACCATAAGTTGAGACTTCTGGCCCACTGTCTACTGGTCCAGGCGCGCATTCTGTATTCGCAAGGGTTTAAAGGAGACCGTCTCAGTCTGTCAGGTCACAGGCCCGACACATTCCTGCCAAGGGCTTGCTGTTTTTTGGAGGAGATACTGGACCACAGCCTCCATCCCCAGCACGCCAAGCCCACTGTGAATGACAGCGGAGCGGTCAGCACAGGCCTGCTGGGCGGGTATTACCATAGAGCAGAGGGCAGAAGAGAGCTGGTCAACGTTGCATGGAGATGTGAAGATGAGAACTTTGTAGCGCAGTGACTCTGGCAGTTTACTGAGGACCAGCTTCAGCACCTTCCAGTCAGTTTCCTAGAGGGAAAGGGATGGTATTGGGATGGGCAGGGTCTTCTGGACTTGTGGACAGAAGACCAAAGGTCACTGCTTGAGGCTGCTTATAGTCAGACAGCAGCAAGACCTTTGGATGCCCAATTTTGCACCAAAGGACCTACTGAGCCAGGTGTGGTGGCACACGCCTGTAATCCCAGCACTGGGGAGGCTGAGGCAGGAGGATCGCTGTGAGTTTGAGACCAGCCTGGGCTACATAAGTGAGTTCCAGGTCAGTCTCAACTACATAGTGAGATCCTGTCTCAAAAAAAACAAAACAGGCCTACTGGGACTGGGCCTCTGTTCCCACAGCTGCAGTAACAGCTGCTGCTCTTAGACTACCCTTGGCAGCGGCAGCTGCTCTTTAGAGGCAAGGCTGAGTGGAAGCCCAAGAGGGAGCTAACACCTCCTCTGTCCTCTTGGCCCAAATCAGGATTTCGAGTACCAACTGAACTTCTGCAACAATGAAGAGGCAAGGGCTGGGGTTGTAGCTCAGTGGCATAGTACCTGCCTGGCAAATGCAAAACTCTGAGTTCAATCCCCGATACCAAAAATGGGAGGAAGGGGGAGGGGGGGCTGAGTGGAAGCCCAAGAGGGAGCTAACACCTCCTCTGTCCTCTTGGCCCAAATCAGGATTTCGAGTACCAACTGAACTTCTGCAACAATGAAGAGGCAAGGGCTGGGGTTGTAGCTCAGTGGCATAGTACCTGCCTGGCAAATGCAAAACTCTGAGTTCAATCCCCGATACCAAAAATGGGAGGAAGGGGGAGGGGGGGAAGTAATCCCCAGGCAAACACCCCTGCATAACAAAACCAAAAGCTGCAGCCCAAGGCCACAGTGACAAGGAGGACCTATTTGTGACCTTCCAACCCTACCTTTGCCTGAATATCTCATCAGGAAGTGAGCCAAAGGCAGAGTCCTAGAAGCCCTTCCACGTACTACTCCTGTGACACCAGGCCTGGAGACTTCTGGATAATTTCCTACGGTCCTTTGGTGCCACCATCTGGGGCCCCAGGACCCTGGACCTGCCCTGGCCTCTGGCCCCCACCCTCCTCCAACCTGCTGTCCTATCCCTCCCTGGCCTCAGCCTCTTGACATAGCACACCCTCTTCCAGGCTTTGCTGACTCCACCTTTCAAACTGAAATCTTCCTCTCCTTTCAAAGTTGCCTTCAGTTTTTCTGTCAAGTATCCCAGGAGTGATTCCCACCACTACCCTGGATCCCCCTCCGCAATAACCAGTCCATCGCCTGCATTAAGTTCAAGTGAGCCTATGGTCAAATTATCTGGCTACAGCGGACACAGTGGCATACGCCTGTAATCCCAGCACTCGGGAGGGGAGGCTGAGGCAGGAGGATCGAGACCAGCCTGGGCTATGTGAGTTCCAGGTCATTCTCAACTACATAATGAGACCCTGTCTCAAAAAAACAAACAAACAAACAAACAAATCATCTGGCTACAGGGCTGAGCCATTCTATAAACCTAGAAGCAAGGGCACTCCCAAGGTCACCCACACAAGAGGGATGTGTTCCAAAAACCTGGTGCTCTCTGGGCAGTGCCCAGTGCAACTCTGTCTGCCCAGAGGGAGAGGTTCTCCTCACCTGCTTCAAACACTGCAGCAGAACTCGGAAGAGCAGGGAGTAGGGTAGGTGGCCAAGCCGAAAGGCAGGGCATCCTGCTGCAGAGCCTGTTGGCCCAGTGGGAGGTGAAAGGGGGCCGCCAGCCTTTTTGTCAGAGCTCCTCTCAGGCTCCCTGCGGAAGCAAATCAGACACCAGCTGAGGTGTATCCTACCATGGAGGTGGGAACAGACACAAGTGGTTCTCCTGGCCCTGGCCCATAGCAAGGATCCCTTCGCCATGGTCCCTCCAGGGCAGACAGCACCTGACTCCATCCCTAACCCAACGACCCTGACACCCCTGGAGCACCAGTTTGGGACAGGGACCGTCTCACATACATGTAGTCACACAAGCAGTAGGGGCTAAATCTCACGATCCCGTCCTTGGTGGGCAGACCCAGGCGGTGCAGCGCATCAGCCCGTAGCAGCAGCAGGAAGTCAAAGGCCTGAAAAGAACCAAACAAACTACGCCATCCAACTGAGCCGGAAACTGCATGCCATTGGGAAGTCAATGTGTTTCCTCTGTTCTGCCATCTCAGGCTACCATGTGACTCAGTGACAAGCCAAAAAGGCACAGGGACTGAAGGCAAAGGAGAAGCAGAGGGCACTGAGAGGCTACAGCTACCGAAAAGCGCCTCAGAGGAAAAGGCCTGCAGAGGGCCCCTCCTTGGGCCACCTCGTCTTCCCGTCTGTATGCATCATGTCCACCGACCCTGAGGCGGCCCGCTGGACCCCAGGGAATGGACCATCATCATACCTGCAGCCGGATACTGCTGGCAATGGGCAGGGAATAGTTATGCTTGTAGTGAAGCTGGATGTGGCTGACAAGTGTCTCATATACACGCATGGCATGGCTGGCAGGCAGGGTGTACAGCTTGGTCTGTGGAGAGAGGATGCTATCACCTTGAGGGCCAGAACATGACATTCAGCCAGGCAGGGCAGCACCCTAGTGCCCTACAGATAAAAAAACCAGGACCATCTCTCGGAGGGTGAGTAGACAGCATCTGCTGTGCTTCCTGTACACGACCACCAGCCACCAATACCACTCTAAGGGGAATCTCTTCATGTGTCCAATTCAGCAGCAGGAAATCAACAAATCAGGAAAACCTATCCAAGGAAAACCCATCCAACAAAAACTAACACCCATCCTAGTGTGCCTAAGAGGCACGCAATGCTACAAGGCAAAGAGGTCAGCGAGGAGCAGCTGGTGGGATGCACACACTGCAGGCTTACTCCCAGGTGCCGAGGCTGGGTCCCTCTGTAAGCCCAAACCAGAAAGGCACTGGGCCCTCCCTGGAAGGTGACAAGCGTGGACAGGGAAATGGCCTTCTGTCACGACAATGTGACAGAGGAGGAGGTCTGGGCCAGGGGTGCAGGGAGACAGCAAGAGCCTGAGGGCCCCTGGTGGCCTATGAGCCTTATAGGGGAGCAGCAGGTATTCAAAAGCTCATTAGTACTGTTTTTTGAGGAAGGCAACTGACAGCTGTTTCTCCTTGTCTCAGAGCACAAGACAGGAAAGCATCATCCTACACTGGACCACGCAAGGTAGGGGAGTTTCACATAATGCACAGCAATAGCAGGCTTTTACAAGATTCTCACAGGGCCTCAACCAGGCCCTCTGAACAGAAAGGGAGTAAAAAACTTATTGGAGCAAAACACACATTGCTGTTAATCTCCCCTCACGATGCTGTCTCCCTTGTTTGAAACACAACTATCCCATTGTTCATGCCAGTTTAGGAAGCAGTTCTGGAAGTCCTGTTACATGAGTGTCTTTAGTTGCAGTGTGTGGCTGACCCCACTGTCCTGAATCAATTCAAAACCCTAATCTACATAGCATGTTCAAGACCAGCCTGAACTACATAGTGACACTCTGTCTCAAAAAAACCAAAAACATGAGCTGGGAGTGGTGGCGCACACCTGTAATCCCAGCACTTGGGAGGCTGAGGCAGGAGGGTCGCTGTGAGTTCGAAACCAGCCTGGGCTACATAGTGAGTTCCAGTTCAGTCTCAACTACATAGTGAGACCCTGTCTTAAAAAACCAAAAACAAACAAAATTCTGTTTAGGAAGGACTGTCTAGTTGTCATCAAAGCAGACTTCAGAGTTCCATGCAAGGAAATAAAAACTCAGGACAAGGGGCTAGGGATTTAGCTCAGTGGTTCCGGCATTCGCAAGCGCAAGGACCCAAGTTCAATCCCCAGTATCAAAAAAAAAAAGATTCACTATTTCCTAATTTCCCTTGTTTTAATCTAAGCATTTTCCTGTTTTCTTACTTAAACTGTATCTTTGATAAATAAAACAGTGTGATTTGGTTATCATTTTTTTTCCTAATTATGAGAGCTTCATTCTTTTGTCTTCATGGTTACTTGTGTGATAACAGCATACACAAATTGTTAAAATAATCAATTTCTAGGGAAAGGAGGTAGAAGTACAGTATCTTTTATACTTTCAGTTTTTCAGTTTGTGGTCTTTGTCTTAATCTTTGTGTTGGCTTTAACTGAAACATGCCAATCTGTGGTTTCAAGAATTTTTTGTTTAAGGTAGTATTGTAAAAGCTTACAAAATGAAGGAATTTCACCCACACTTGAATATGTAAGCAAGATTACACACAGATGTACCAAATGGTTAACTTTGTTTTACTAATTTGTATGAATGTGGAGTGTCTGTTGCCCATTACTATACATGTGCAAAAAAATGTGGCTTAGATTTGTGCGACTGCTTAAGACTAGGACTTGTATTAACTTCTTGATCCTTTGTATAAGGGAGTGCTTAAATTGTAGATGGCCTTTGTGTTCATAATTAAATGCAGCTTTAGGCTTGAAAAAGGGTCTCAAAAAAAGTTGCCCTCTTTGGGCTTGAATTTATGATCCTCCTGCCTCAGCCTCCTTCGTACTGGAATTACAGGTAAATGCCATCAAACCCAGCTTGAATTAGAAGTGTTTAAGCTAATGAATGCATACACTACACCTTATGTGATATTAATATCCATAGTTATACTTAAGAGACACTGCTAGGCTTTGAAAATCAGCAATCAATGTACAGTGGCAGAAGGAAGGGCCTGACTACTGCCCACCTAGAGATGTGTGGTGACAGTATGGGGTGTGTTGAGCTGGGTGTGGGGACAACTGCCTGTAATTCCAGTTACTCGGGAAGCTGAAGCAGGAGAATCACAAGTTTGGACCCAGCCTGGGCAATTTAGCAAGATATTCTCTCAAGGGCCAGGGATTTGGCTCAGTGGCATCGTGCCTGCCTTGCAAGCATAAGGTCCAGAGTTCAATCCCCAGTACCAAAACAAACAAAAATAAAAAAGGGGGGAATGTATGGGGATCAGAGGAGGAATGTGTGGTGACACAGGAGAGACTAGTGAAGAAAAGGTTATGTGTGGGGCCAAGAGGAGCTGTGGCACCAAAGACCCTCAGAAGCATCTGAGCATCATGCTGCAAGAACACCTGCAGGGGTTAAGAAATGTCTGCAGAGCATCCACCTGACACAGGACTTGTGTCCAGAATAAACAGGGAATTCTTTTGAGGTTTGTTTTGGGATTGTTTTTTTCCCAGTACTGGGAACTGAACTCAGGACCTTGCGCTTGCCAGGCCTGTGCAGCACTACTGAGCTAAATCCCTGGCCCTGTTTTGGGATTTGTTTTTGTTTTCATTTCTGGTACCGGAGATCAAACTTAGGACCTTGTGCTTGTGAGGCAGACATGGTGCCACTGAGCTAAATCCCCAGCCCACTGTTTTGGTTTTTTGAAACAAGACCTCACTATGTAGCCAGGCTGGCCTCAAACTCTTGGTGATCCTTCTGACTCAGCCTCTTGAAGGCTGGGATTATAGGTGTGTGCCATGCACCTACCTTGTAGAACATACAGAGAATTCTTATATCTCAGTAACGCAAAGACAAACAACCCTGTAAAAAACGGGCAAAGATCTGAAGATACACAGCTGGTTAATGACTATATGAAAAGATGTTTGGGCGGATGGTGTAGCTCAGTGGTACAGCCCTTGCCTAGCATGTGCAAGAGTCTGGGTTCAATACCCAGCACAGAAGAAAAAGATGCTCAACATCATTACCTTTCAGGGAAACAGTGAGATACCACTTCACACCCACTAGGATGGCCACAGACAAAGAAACAGAAACAAGCTGATAAGAAAAGGAAAAAATAGAAACATAGTCTTTGTAAATAGGGAAGGGTGGAGGTGGTGAAGGGAGGGCAGGAGAATGGGGAAAAATAAGAACCAAGATGCATCATGTAAAGGTACAAGATCCCAACGATGAATGTAACTGTGCTGTATACCTAAAATGTACCAGTAAACTCAGTGAAAGAAAGAAAGAGCGCAGCAAGCTGAGTACAGTGGCACTCGCCTGTAGCCTCAGGTACTTTGGCAGGAGTAGAGTTTGAGGCCAGCCTAAGCAACATACCAAGACCCATTTCAAAGAAGGGAAAAATGAAAGAACAAAGAAAGAGATGTAACAATGCTGTGGAGCACTTTCTCCATGGTGGAGGAATCAGAACATCATACACAGCTGAGAGGGATGTGAAACGGTGCAGCCCTGGTACAAAACAGGCTGGCAGCTCCACAAACCTTATACACAGACATAACCTCCAACCTGCCCATCTGCCCTACTCCCAGATGTGGAAACACATGCACACAGAAATGCCTGTGCAACAATGTTTGAAGCAGCCTTGTTCACAAGAGTCAAAAGGGAGAAACAACCCAAGTATCTCCATCAGGCAAGTGGGTGAACAAAGTATAGACCAGCCATGCCGTGGGACATCAGTCAGCCAGAAAAAGGGATGATGCACTGACACCTCCACCAACCTGCCTGAACCTTGAGAACACGGTATTCAGTGAGAGAAGCCAGCTACAAAAGGCCACATTTTGTGTGATTCCATTTATGTGAAACGTCCAGAACAGGCAAACGGATGGAGACAGAAGGCACACTGGGGCTTGGCAGAAGTTCAGGAGTGATGGCTAATGAGCACGGGGTTTCGTTGGGATGTTGGGGATGTTCTAAACGCAACGGTGGTGATGACCAGGCAGCTCCGTGAATGCACTGAAAATCACCAAGTCGCTCACTGTAAAAATGGTAAGCTCTACAGTATATGAAAAGTAGAGCTGTTTTGAAACTTAAGACAAGATATCAAGCAAGAACAGGCTTTCTCTTCCTCCTCAGCTGATGAGGAACCAGTCAGGGCAAGTATCACACAGAAGCAGAATTTGGTTCTGACCAGAACTCGGGGTCAGTGGCAGACTGGACAGCGTGGCCCTCACCCACTGTACCCCGCAGGCCTCTCACCTAGTCAGGACCTCACCCTGCTGCCCACCATAGCCACCACACCCCTGTGACCCTTGTAGAGCTCAGGTCTCTGGGGAGACGTGTCCCTGAAGAGCAGCCTCCAACAAGGGTAAACAGGAGCTGGGCGGCACACTGTCCCAAAAGAGACCATCTACAGAGGTCTCACCCACCTGAAGGATGACCAGGAGCCCCAGGACTGCAGTTTTCACATCCTCCAGAGAAGCTGAGTAGGCAGTCACATCCCTTTCTTCTAACTCAGGAGGCAGAGAAAGGGAGCGGGCCATCACCTTAGAGAGACCAGCACGTTAAGACCCAGCTCTTAGCTCTAGCCACGGTCAAACCTAACACTTTCTACCACAAATACCTTCTCTTTCATTTTCAGAGAGAAAGAAGGTATAGTTTACATATCCAACTGGCCATTCAGGAATCACAGTGCAGTTTAGATCTAAAAGGGAAAGGTCCTGGCTTTGTCAGGAGGATATGGACCACAACCTGTCACCTGGGCTGTGTGAACCTCCCAGCATCTAGCCCAGTTCTCAAGGAGCCACACAATACCCATTTCTAAGGTCCTGAGAGCAGGATGCAATCCAGCCTGGCCTCTGGACACCACCTGACTCTGCTGGGAGAGACATCCTGACCCCTGAAGACAGTCACAAGGTTGACAGTGGACTCCAGTCCACAGGACTGTACCACAAGGAGAAGTACCTTTGGCACTTAGCCCCCCCATACCCCCCCGCCCTGGGCCCTGTGCAGTCCTCACTTTTTCAATGATGTCCAGCAGACTGTTGAAGTGGTGGGTATGGCAGCCCTCGGCCAGATCCACCAGCAGTTGGGTAGCCAGCTTTCGGACTTGGGGGTCTCTGTCTTCAGGGATATGGGACAGCTGAGAGATGACTACTGAGTTAATCAGTTCTTCCTGCAAGGGGCAGAGAGAGAGAAGGTAAGCCTCACAGTGAGGGACACTAAATTCCTCAAGGAATCAAGTAAAAAAACCTAAGGTGTTGTCAATCAAGACCAGAAAAGCTGAACAAGAACATCATCGGGGCCTGTGAGCCTGAAGTAGTCTCTGGGGCCCTCCCTTCTAGGGTACCTGCTTAGCCCCTCAGTTAAGATCAGTGACTGCTCTACAGTAACCTGGCACAGCCACAGAGCCAAAGCCATGTGCCAATGTGACGCAGCCAAGGAAAAGTCTCCGCGTGCTTTTTGTCACTCAGTGTCACAATTAATAATAAACCCTTTAGGGCCGGGCGTGGTGGTGCACGCCTGTAATCCCAGCACTCGGGAGGCTGAGGCAGGAGGATTGCTGTAAATTCGAGACCAGCCTGGGCTACATAGTGAGTTCCAGGTCATTCTCAACTACATAGTGAGACCCTATCTCAAAAAAATCAAAAAAAAAAGGGCTGGGAATTTAGCTCAGTGGTTCCGCCACCTACCTTGCAAGTGTAAGGACCCAAGTTTGATCCCCGGTACCAAAAACAAAACCAAAAACCAAAAAATTACCCCTTTAGCACATGTGATGGCCTGGATTTGATCTCCAACACCCCCCCCACACACTCCTATGTAGAGGGCTGTGTGAACGTTGGTGGCAGTAAAACCCTAATATCACAGAATCTACTGCAAAGCGGGGGGTGGGGGATGTTGCAAGAGCTTTTATGGAGGGCAGGGGATTTAGCTCAGTGGTGCCACCATCTGCCTTCCAAGCCCAAGGTCCCGAGTTCGATCCCCAGTACCAAAAAAAAGGCACGCAGATACACATACTGATATTCTTCTAGGAGGAAAAGGTAGCACAGAGGGAAAGGCAGAGGCAGAATTACCAGGCAGGGCCCAGGACAGCCTAGCAGCTGGTGATCAGCCAAGAGGCAAATGATGAAAGTGATTACAGACACAACAAAGTACCCCCCATGAGACTATTTTCAACTCAGACCAGAATTCTTTAGAGGCTCCTGGGTGACAACTAAGCACAGAGCCTTAAAGGCTTGTGTCATCCATCCATCCCTACTCCTCACCCCCCACTGCTCTACAGTTTACAGACCCAGCACAGGCCTGGCCAGGACACCACATGACGAAAAAATGAATTCATGAACAAGGGAGAAACTGACGCAATTGAATGCCTTCCACAGAGTAGTGCCAGTAGGAGTGGGGAGTCTCAGGCTGGGGCAGAGCCAGGAGGCATACAGTGCCCAGAAGCCCCCAACCCCAGAAGGCTCCAGCTCCACCCACCTCATAAAACTGCCTGTTGATGAGCAGCACAAAGGACAGCACATCCAACACCTTGATGCGCACAGCACTACGAGACTCATTCCTGCGGGTGGGGAAGGAGAGAACAGGCTGTGGGGCTGCGTGGTTAGGCCTGACCCTGGGTTCTCCCCATGGATCCCAGCTCAACATCCAGACCCAGCCAAGGGAAACAGAGAACTCTGCCTTCCAAGAGGCCACAGCACAAGGGCCTCACTAGAGGACTGTTTCCTACGGGAGAACCAATCTCTGCCACTCAATGAAAACCACTGCTCTGAAGAATCAGAAAGGAAAGCCACCAGTGTCATCAGGAGCCAGGGTGGGCCAACAGGTTTCACTACCTGAAGAACCTCTCCATCAGCAAGTGCAGGTTCTGGATCCAGCCGTCCTTCGCTGGGTGAATGGACTGAGCTCTGTAGGATATTAAGTTTAAGAGGGAGGACTCCTGTCGAGGAAAGATAGCCAGTGTCAGGGAGCCAGAGGGTCTGTCAACCCACTGCTAGGCTAATGTCCCCGGAGAACCAAATTTGCGTGAAGAGACCATTCCCCTTGCTACCCAAGTGGGAAGCCCACAGGAACAAAGCCTCCTGGCTGTGGAAAACACAGGTCAAAACACACGAGCAACCTGGCTTAGGGCCGAGTGTTCCTGGCAAAATGACTCGGATGCCTGGGGGCAGCCACAGAACAGTCAGCCTCCGCAGAGCAGTCCAGAACTCCCTCCACACAGGCGGGAGGACACTGATGGTTAGGCTAGCACTGAGCTCTTCAACAGACCCACACATGCAATGCTGCCTGAACTAGCAGGCTTCCTTGCTGGAGCATAGATCCTGGCAAAGTAGGAACCTGCCGAGCCCTTTACTTCAAACTTGGAAAACTTGGCTTTACATCTGCAGACAGTGCTCCCAAGGGCCTTTTCCCTGCAGCCCTCTTGGCCTGAACCCAAAGCCCCACAGGGTGGGGAGTGTGGAGTCTTACAGGCCTTTGGTCCGCACAGCTCTCCACCAGCTCAAAATATCTTTCCTGTGAGCCATGAAACTCATTCTGGTCACACAACTCCTCCACAGTAGTCAGCAGGTCATGGACGATGGTCCTGAGCTCTGGGCTTTCCAGGTCCTGCAGAACCAAGGTACATCACACAGAATACTTCCACTCCCCTCAGGAAGCTCACTCCTCCTTCCCACTTCTCCACAGCCTAGGAGACCTCAGCTCAGGACTAGGTGCATGTGGACATGCCCTCAGTCCCATGGCTGGGCCTCACTGGGAAGTGTGGACACACTGTTCTTGTCTTCCCCACCCTGGAAAATCCTGGCTAAAACTACGCAGCCCAACCTGGAAAGAAGAGCAGGAAGGAGAGAGCAGCTACAACTTCACACCCTTACACTTCTCCCAGGCTCTAGTACCTGCTGAAGCCCATGCTCCCACACTTGCCATCTCAGGCTAAAGGGCTACCTGGCTAGCCAGTCAACAGCAATGGTCCAGTGAGAACCCAGATCCTAGGAGGACTCAACTCAGGCCCAGAGACCCAGTCCTTCCTTCTGCTGAATCGGTCCCTGGACATCATCCAGCCCTGGCCATACCAGATGCTGCCCTCGTCTGCCACAGCCCTTGCATCAAAAGCTTTAAACCAGGGTTGGGGATTTAGCTCAGTGGCATCATGCCTGCCTCGCAAGCACAAGGTCCTGAGTTTGGTCCTCAGGACAAAAGAAAAAGAGAAAAACCTGTGTGCCTATGGGCCCTGGGGTCCTCAGTGCTATAGTTAAGAGACTCGTTAATGCTGTCCTCCAAAGTCATCGGAAAGCCACAGCCAGCACTCCAGATGCTCTGGGACCTGTCTTTAGGGCCCACTCAGCCCACAGAGGTGACATATTCTGTCCTTCTGTTGGCCTTGAGCAACACTGGCCCAGCTTGCTCACCTACTGCATACTCCTGTCTGAAGTTAAAATCATGGAGCAGCATTAGGAAAAAAATGAGATCTGTCCTCACTGTAAGGTAGGTGGCACCTCCAAGAACAAATGAGCACAGCTACAGCAGGCTCTGAGACCTCAGAGACAAGGCCTAGACACGTAGGTTGCCACCTCCTGGGAACAGGTCACCTGTCTGGGGTATCAACACCCTTGGCCTGTGGCCTTCACTCCACTTTACCTGGAGCTGCTGAAGCAGCCGTTCCATGACTTTCAGCAGAATGTCCCACGTCACTGCCTGAAGCTCCTTCCTATACTTCTTGATGAGTCGGGTTATGGACAGCACAATCTCATAGGACACCACTTCGTTAGGACAGGCCATGGCCTAGAGAACACAGAGCAAAGGGCATGCAGGGTCAGCTACTCCCAGCTCACACACAGAAAGCCCCCTCCTACTTGTCCCTTAAAGCTGAGTGCAAGACAATGAAGCACGCAGCACTTACACCCATGGCCATGGGCCATAAAAACATGCGAGGCACCCAGAAGGGTGTCTGCTACTCTGCACTAGTATGGTTGGGATCCAGATAGGCTCTAGGGCTCCCACCTCCAAAGGGCCTGATTCAAAGACCAGTGTCCTAGCACTGCAGAACCTGACAGGTATGGCCTGAGTTCCGGCAACAGCAGCACACAAAGACCATGCCCTACACTGTGCCGTAGCTGAGGAGAGAGTGCCTCAGAGCCTGCAGAACAGGAGATGCAGCTTGTCAGAGCTGCTCTGCACTGTGAGATATGATCATGGAGCCGTGACAACTACGTGTACATGCACAGGAAATGCTCTGAATGTCTCAGGGCATCATCGAAAAAGAAGCTGAAGCTGTCATTCTATCCTCCAGAACGATGGCAAGAATACTATTTGACAAAAGAGAACCATCACCAGCAGGAGGAGGGGTAGCACTGAGCAGCTTCAGTCTTCATTTGCAGGAGATGAAACTTGTAAGACAATGTGTTTTGAGAAGAAAATCTTCAAATGGCCCTAAATCTCATCTTCAGTTCAAAAGCAACTGACTGAAAGCACCCCCTCATCCCTGCTGCAGCAGCCCAGCCCGGCAGGTGGGCAGTCTGTGAAGACCCCAATTCTTGCCATCTCACTGCAACGTGAAAACCCCATTACCTCATAAAAAGATGGCAATACAGATGTTGGGGAGTTCTTGAGAGAAGGGAGTCGGTGGGCGCCCCAAAGAGCCATGCCCACAAAGAACACAGCTCCTCTCAGCAGGGGGGCATCATCCCTGTAGGCTCTGAAAGCAATCCCCAGAAAGACCAATGTGAGTAGGGCCCTATCCCTGTGTGCAGTCCAGTGAGGATCTTGGCACTGGTAGTGCCCACAGCAGTTCCTGTACTTTTAGGGCAGAAGCATAGCTGGAAAAAGGGTTGGAGAAACAGGCAGAAAACACAGGCCAGCAACAGCCAATTCCTTCATGATCTGTTCAACAGCAAACACTCTTGACCACCCCACGTGCCACGAGTCACTCAAGATCCAGGGATAACAGACTGAGTGAGAAGGCCTTTGGCCTTCAGTCTAGTGGGGACAGAACCTAACCAAAAAATCACGTGGTATAAAGCTTCCACAAAAAAATCATAGTCCACAAGGAAAGCTACGGGCCTGAGAGCAAAGGCTACTCAGGGAAGCTAGGGAACTGATTACTACTCTAAGACCTATGGGAACAATTAGACTCACAAACGATGGGGAGAGCATTCTAGCAGGGGGAAAGGGTGTACACAGAGGCCATCAGGGGGAGGGGGAGTAGCAAGAGGGAAAGAATGACAGGGCCACTGGGGACCTTGTTCCATAGGGAGGATTCTTGTGTTGGGAGCACTGGGAAACACTGTGGTCTCAGGCAAAGGGTGACACAATCAGATCTGATATAGAAAAAGGTCTCTTGCTACTGTGTGGAGAACTTTCAAGAGGCAAAAATGGATGCCAGAAAGCAAGCGTTGAGTATCACGGGTGTGGGGTGTCTACCAGGCAGAGGACAGACTTGGGCCACTTCTTGGAGGAAGAAGCAATAGGTCTTGTAATGGTTTGGCTGCAGGGTGAGGTCCAGGAGACAGTAGGTTAACACCATGAGTCTAGCCTTATAACAGGATAAATAGTGACAAGTCTCACTGGAGACATGCAGGTGAGGGAAAGGGATCTGAGCTCGGTTATGGGCTTTGATTTGCCCAGCAGGAAAGGATAGGAGATCACACATACGACATACCTAGCTTTAGTGAAAGTTCCTAGAACTGGCAAACAGCAGTGCCAGGAAAACCCCAACTTCATTCACACTAGACAAGTGTCAATACAAGAAAGGCTCCTCCTGCACGTTTCCAGGTAGCTAATCTCAGCCCATTCACTCTCACCTATCACCTCACATGCCCACACTCACCTGTCCTCCATGATGCGGCACATGTTATAGATGGCACTGTGGCCCAGGTGAGTGCCCAGGAGGTTACGCATCAGCTGGGGGACAGAAGACACATCATAGGGAGTAGCAAATAGACGTTCCAATGCCATTAGGTGCATCCCAATCTCATCAAGGGCAGCCCTCACCCTAACTCACACTGCCACTGCAGCCCCATGGTACAGCCAGCTCACTATGACCTCCTCTCAAACCAGAAGCTACAGAGGTATCAAATGCCACCCAAAGCCTGGCCTCAGGTCAACTGCTTGGGAAAGGTCACCCAACTTACCCTTAAAGGCCACTGTCTGATAACCCAAAATATCATATGCCAACTACTGAAGATGGCCTTTAAACTTTGATGTTCTGGGATTGGAATGCTGTCCCAAACTAGGCATGGTAGTGCATGCCTATAATCCCAGCCCTCAGGCTGAGACAGGAAGATTGCTCCAAGTCCAAGGCCAGCTCTGGGCTACATAGTGAATTCAAGGCCAGCCTGAACTACATAGTGAGACCCTGTCTCAAAACAAACAAAAAATGATGCTGTCCCAAGAAAGGACTCCCCACCTTCCAGCAAGGCTCACAGAGTTCCTTGACATTGATGGTGCGGCACAGGGTAACAATGAACAGAGGGAGGCTCTCAGCTGGCAGGCAGTTGTAGCAGACCACAGCGTCCAGCACCTGCAGGGAGACCTGCAGGAGGGAAAAAGATCACACCGATGCACCCCACTCCCACTCTCCTGCTCACTGCCCGTTTGCCTCCCTCACAATCACAGAGCATACATTTGGGAGGCACTCCTGTACCCCATCCCTATGGGTCATCAACACTATGCTGGTCCATTCTAAGACAAAATTCCATGATGAACCCCATCTAACTACCCTTACTGGGCAGACTTCTACGGCTCAGTGGGGCCAAGGAACTGCCTGGGGACTCAAAGCCAGAGGGTGGCATGTAGGGGTCAACCTGGAATACCAGTCTCTTAGAAACTAAGGTGCAACAAACTATCCCCTGGGGAGGGGTATCACTGACCTCTATGTCCACAGAGGACATGGTCCGGATGCACAGCAGACAGATCATGCTGGGGAGGAAGTGCCAAAGTCAGTTCAGAGTGTGTTTCCCAGAAGGCTGAGCAACTGCACTTCATGTTTTAGTTACTCTGTCATGTTGGTTACGGGACCAGCACATCCTTGCTTAGGGTCGCCACTCTATGCCAGCTGTGTGCCCAGTGCTGAGTGTCTGGCAGGAGACAAAGCCCCTGCCCTCATGGACACTACAGGATGTTTAAGAAAATAATGATCAAAAAAAAACAGCTAAGTTTAAGACAGGTCCACTTCCAACTCCTGTATTTATTTGGTGGCTTTGCTTTATTCACCCTGCAGAGCTGAACTTAAGAGCTAAAGCAATGGAACTGTATCAGAATAACACTATTTAAGTTCTGTTCTATACTTTTTCCAGTGCCAGTGGTGATGACTGAACCCAGGACCATACCATGTGCCTGCTAGCCAAGTGCTCTACCACTGAGCTACACCCTCAGTCCTTATTTAAACTCTCTTCTTACTGAACCATTGATGCGATGTGTTCATCAAGGTAACAGCTGTTGAACTTGACCAAGTTCACAAGCACCAGCAGAAATTCTGAGGACAAGCCAATATCCATCCACTGCAAGACGAAATTCGCTGTAGGAGAAGAGGACAGCAGTTTGCTGAGAAGCCAAGACTATATTTCCTCCTCACCTCCTTCAGGAAAATGAGTCTGGATTCCATCACCACTGAGAAGCACACAATCAGTCCCCTTGCAGTCACAGGCAGGTCACTTATGGTGCCCAAGAAGACTCAGCAGGAGCCTCACAGGGACCATGCATGGATACCACCGAACTGCCTGAGAGTCAGAAATGGGTGGCAGGACTGTGCAGTTCAAACTCAGACCCGACTACCCTTGCAAGGGAAATACACATAACGGGGCAGATGTTCAGGAGGGCCACGTTCAGAAGACAGGTTCTTGGGTACTCTCATCATCCTAAGAGTCTCTGGAAGGAGACACATACATGTGTATGGCTTCCAGCTTCAGAAAGAAACCTGCCAACAGCCGCAGCACCTCTCCTGGGGCAGATCGGCCACCAAAGTCATCTCTGGACCTCACAGCAGCAATAACCCAGTCAGATTTATTTCTTCCTCCTTCCCCCAACAGGGACATGAAATCTGGAGTCTGACCAAAATGTCTCACTGGCAGGGCACAGGAGATCAACCAACAGTTAAGAACTCAAGCTGGGCACAGACAAGCTGGGTGAGATGAGTTGACAATATCCTCTCCCAGTGACAGATAGACTACCACCCACCCACTTCAAAGGCACCTTTGAGGGCTGCTTCCCAGAGACTCTGAGCCAGCAGGTTTGTAGTGAAGCCCAGGAGCCACATGCTAAAAGAGCTCTTTCCTTATGAGATCCAGGTGAGTAGAGCTACATGGTGCTATGACCCTGTAACCACCCCCAGGTCCTTCTCCATCTCAGGTTAAATTTGATCCAAGGTTAGAGAAACACCACATCCAGTGTGGCACCAACCCAGTTCTTCTTCCAAGTAGGTGATATGTCTCCCATTGTCTGTGAGGGCCTTGAAAACTTCCAGCCTTTCATGGAGGTCTTCACTGGAGGGGTAATCTCTGATGGCCTTAAAGAAGAGGGCTCTGAGAACTCCCAAGCTGTCACCCTAAAGACAAAACCACTGGGTCAGCACAGACCTGCTAAGTTCTCCCTCACAGTTGCCTTTCAGGAGGCCAGGAAGAGCAACAGGCACTGAGACACCAGCCTGTTGTCCTTCCCTCAGGGAAGCAAAGGATGGGTTGGCGAAGTCTGTAGGCTTGGGGTCGGGGACAGAGTCACTGGCTGGCAGCTGACAGGTATGTCTGGACCACCTACGGCATTGGGCTCTGGGTATGGCAGGGCACACAGCAGGGACAATGTAGCCCTTGCCACCACCCAGCTCACAGTACAGGTTAGATCCATGCTCACACATCATGATGACAAAGGGCAAAGGTACCAGGTAAGGTACAGCAGAAGTGGATAGGCCACTAACAGCTGGGTCATGAAGGAAGAAACTGAACACCGGTGGAGAAGTCTTCCAGGCAGGAATAGCAAGATAGACCTTGGATGTTCAAGGGTTTGAACACTCCTGCCCAGCTGGGGTGTGGTGAACAAGGGGAATGCTCTGGCTGGGGGACAAGGCAGCAGGAGCAAGGTAATAACGGCCATGCCAAGGCACTGCTCCCCACCTTTCCATGAATTGCATCTTTCCATCCCCAGAACAGCCCAGAGGAGGAAGGTTCAGCCACCACCCACATCAAAAGTGAAAAGGTAAGGCTCAGGGGTTCCAGTAACTAGCCAGGGTCACACAGACAGAAATAATGGCACCACAATGTCCATGCATGATGTCTAGCTCCGGAACCCCAGACCCTACACAGAGCACACCATCAAAGACAAGAGTCCACATGGCTAGTGACCTGATATCAGCCAAAGTTCATCAAGCTCCTCCCCTTACCTGCCCCTGTACAATAGCCTTCAGGAGGGCCAGCACTGCATGTCGAGCCTCTGGTGGCCGCTCTGGCTGCAACAGGTCTGCAACAGCATTCCAGAGTGCTTCCACTGCATGCTGCCACCAGCAAAGAGGGGATAGTGGTAAGGGTGTGGTCTCCAAGAACCCTGGCCCCTCAATACAAGGACATGACTAAGGACAGAGCAGAACATGGGGTCCTCTGATTTAGAACCAGTTCCTCAGCAGCCTGCAATGACCACAGGTCTCAGAACCACTTTAAACCCAAACAGGTCCCTTTAACCAGCCCCAGGCTGAAGGCTGCAGAAGACAACAGGCAAGCCAGGAGAGCAGTCTTGGCTTTCCTAAGATTGGGAAAGAGTCTTCTGTAAAGCTGCTCACTCTGAAAGAGGTCTGGGAAGTCTCTGAAACAGACGTGCAGGGTGAGGCCTGGGCCTGTAATTTACCCAAAAACCCTGGCCCATGCCTTTCCTCTGTGTGAACCCACCAGCTGTGAGCCACTTGAAGATGCTAAGAAAGAACTCTGCTTAGCCTTCTGAAGTCTGCTTCACTCACAACTCCCACCAGCTGTGGAGAACTGATTTCCTGCTGCCCAGAGCCACCCAGATTCGTCTTATTTGACAAGCACTTGAGCTAGCTCTTGCATCAACTTTCACTCCCTTCAACCAGGGTTCACAAACCACTCACTTTCCTGGGCCTCCTCCTCTTAGGAGTGGGGATTAAAATGGTAATGACCTCCTAGATGTCAGATTTGCTGGAACCCTCCTCTCCTATGCTGCATTCACAAGATTCCTACTGATACAACCTGAGGAGCAACAAAGACACTGAGCCTCTGAACCATCCCAATTTTTGTTTTTGTTTTTGTTTTGGTACTAGGGATTGAACTCGGGACCTTGTGCCTTGCGAGGCAGGCAGCAGGACCACTGAGCTAAATCCCTGGCCCCCATCTCAGCTCTAATAGGTCTGTTTATCTATCGGCATCACATTCTGTACCTACAATGGCAAGGTTATCAGCGTGGAGCCTGTTTTTTACATTGCTCCTGACATGCAGCTTGCATATTTCAGATGAATTGATGAAAATACAGTAGACAAAGTGAGTCACTTCCTGAGTCTCACACACAAATGATGGGCAGGGCCAGGAGGAGCTCTAAAGTGCTAGAAAGACAACCAGCCACTCTGCCCATGAGACAGCGTAAGACTGGAACTGCCAAAACTACACATGCTGTGTCTCTTCTGTAAGACTGCCTCGTGCCACCAACCAGTCATACTTCCCAAGCAGGCCCAAGACCAAAGTGCCGTGAAGCAGCCTCTGTGAAACCACACCCCGTCTTGGCATCCCACCAGAAAACTCAAGGCTTCTATTTTTCTTTCTCTAAACTCAAGGCTTTTAAATGACATCTCTGAGACAAACCCACCTCTTCAAATTTCTTAGTTTTTGCAACTTCACAGATCTGCCCTATCACCCGGATGCGATTGCTGAGGCCACATTCAACACTCAGTTCCTAGAGAGTGAAAAGAAGAAAAAAAAGGGGCCAGTTCTCAGATGACTGGTCTCCCTAATTACAATCACAAACCATTCTACAAACTGTTCTGCATTTTCCAGACTAGAGCTCTGTAACAGGTCTCTATGAAGATTTGGCAATGAGCTTACTGCTGCTCCTCAGCAGACTGACTATGGGCAAGGTATCATTTTCCTATCTGCAAATTTTTATTGAGATAAAACTCACATAATGTAAAATACATCACAGGGATTTTAAACTATGCAATTCAGTTTAATATGTTCACAATGCTTGCAACATCTCCAGTTCCAGAGTATTTTCATCACCCCACAAGGAAATCACATACCAATTCCTTCCTCTGTTCAGCCCTGATGAACACTGACTTGCTTTCTGTCTCTCTAGATTTGCTTATTCCGGACATTTCATGTAAACAGACTTGTGCATTATGAGAACCTCTATGATTAGCTTCTTTCATTTAGTGCATTTTTAATGTTTGTTCCTGTTGTACTATGTGTCAGCAGTTCACTGTTCCTATTACTGAATCATATCTCATTAAATGGCCGTAGCCATCATCAGGTGATGAGCATTTTGGGTGTTTCTAAATTGGAATTTTCAGGCTGGGGATGTAGCTCAGCAGTGCCATGCCTGCCTGGCAAGCACAAGGTCTTTAGTTTGATCCTTGGTACCCCCCCAAAAAAAAATTCAATAAAAATAAATAAATAAATTGGAAATTTTAAAAGTGTGAAAATTTTGTATTTATTTATTTATGAGGAAAACATGGCATTAAGGTATGTGTTAGTAGGGGGAATTCAAATACATAAAAAATAAGGTGGGCCGGGGATTTAGCTCAGTGGTTCGGTGGCCTGCCTTGCAAGCGCAAGGACCCGAGTTCAATCCCCGGTACCAAAAATAATAACAGTCATAATAATAATAATAATAAGGACATGTTAGTCTTGTTGACATGAATCTATAGTCCCAGCTACTTAGGATGCTGAAGCAGAAGAATCAAAATTTCAAGACCAGCCTGGGTAACTCAGCAAGATCTGGTTTCAAAATTAAAAAAAAAAATTTTTTTGGCGGGGGGGTACCAGGGATTGAACTCGGGTCCTTGTGCTTGCAAAGCAGGCCACTGAACCACTGAGCTAAATCCCCGGCCAAAACTTAAAATATTTTAAAGGACTAGGGTATAGCTCAATGGTAGAGTCCTTGCCTAGCATGCATGAGCCCCTTTGTCCAAATTCTAGTTACCACCAAAAAAATAAAAACAAAAAGATGGGTTGGGGATGTAGCTTGCTGGTAGAGTACACACTTAGTATGCACAAGGATGTGGGTTCCCACAGCCAAAAACATAAAATAAGGATCCACTTTTCCTAAGAACTCACATATTACTAGTTAACACCTGGCCATATCTTTAACTGTCTGTGAAGATGAAGGCATTCAAGCACACCTGGCAAAATGGGTTTTCTTGCATAACACTTGAATTCTAATGCACGTATGCTACAGCAGGTCACCAAGATCCTGACGCTAAGAGTCCTGAGGAAAACATTTGTATGCCCTCATAAGACTGAGGACAGCAACCCTGTGCAGTCATCAGGAACCCATTCCCCACAGAACCCTGTGACAGACCCAACAGCCTTCCTTGCCTCCTCACTAGGCTAACAAAGGGATAGGCAGCTCACTCACTCTCAGGATTTCCGCTGTGATGATAAACTCCGTCCGTTTGCCTTCTGGAGACCTAGGATTTGGCCTTGGTGTTCCCAGTCCCAATAGAATCTTGAACTTCTCCTTCAAGCCTGAGTCTTTGTTGGCTGGCTTGGCCATGGTGGCCAGGGGCCCAGAAGAGGGCTCCTCTGTGTAAAAAGAAACAGGCATTGGAAACATCTGAGTTACAGCTCCACCCACATGCGCCGCCGCTGACCTCCAACCGCACCAACCCTAGTTTCTGGGGTGACAGACTCCTTCTCCCTCCATCCAGTGGAGACAACTCAACTACGGCCTGGCTACAAGGCCACAGAAAGTACAGAAGATGCAGGCCTGGCCTAACTAGCTCAGACACGGCCGCTCTCGCCCTCTGGGTACAGAAGCCACGACTTTTACCACCTCTCTTCTCCTGGATGGATGAGAAGCTGTCTAGAGAACACCTGCAGCAGAGACCTGCTCACACCTGCTGTGACTTATAAAGCCAAAGAGTGCTTGCAGAGACAAGATCAAGCTGCGGTGGGTGCAGTTGAGGCCTGAGCACACGGAGCCCGCCTCCCCGCCGCCCAGTCACCGCTGGGTCACACCATGGTCTCGGCCAGCAAGAGAGGCTGACTTTCCAGGAGATACTCACCCCTTACGGCCGCCAGCCGCTGAGAAGGTCTCACTCCCCGGACCCCAAGCCGCCGCCGGAAGCACGACCCACACTTCCGGGGGTGGGACAGTGTCCCCACGCAGGGCTTGTCGGGAGCCGTAGTTCTCGGCATGTATTGAGCATGTGATAGGCCGCCAGGGCCGCCGGGATGTGTAGTTAGTTGCACCTGGCATGATGGCGGCGGCAGCGAGGATGTTAACGCGCAGTCAGAGCCGGTCTACTTGTGTAGGGTCGTGGGGCAATGGGGAGGAGCCCGCGCCACCAGGAAACCGAGAGGTTGCAGCAGGTAGCGTCGTGGCTACGAAAGGAGAGGCGAGGGAAGGGGACGGGGTTTGCAGGCTGGGATTCTGACCAGGACGCGGCAAAGTCCGCGAGCGCCTGCGAGCCCTCTGGCCCCACGTGCGGCCTTGCGGTTCCACCTTGGCCTTTTCTCTGAGGCTGGCATCACCCTCGTCCGGAGCAAGAAAGCCACTCCCACTAGCCTGCCCCGGGACTGTCCCTTGTGCCAGGGTGACTGTGGGGCACAGCAGCCCTGTGCTCAGAGCTGCTTCCTTCTTGGCTGAACCGACTGCCAAGAAAGACCCAGCCAGACGTCTCCCCCAGCTGGAGGGTGGTGCTGAGAGAACACAGGAAAAGGCATGGCATTCATTGTATTTGCCCTGTAACCTTTAACGGCCTACGGTGCGCCAAGAAACAGGACTCAAAAGAACAGGACTAACAGATCACCTATATTCTCCTGCTAGGACTTACGCAGATTTGGCCGGAGCAGGATTTCCATAGGCATTTAGGGCACTAGGGAAATGCAAACAAGGATGTCCTCTGGAACTGGGATGGTAGGGGAAAGGTTGTGCAGTGGGGAGCAGGCAGGTGATAATGCCTCCCAGGGCAGCAGGTGCTTTCTTGGCCATAGAGTTTGAACTCATCTCGAGTGCAAAGGAAAGCCAAGGAGTTCTGAAAGGGGCGTGACGCAGTCTGATTTGAGTGTTAGAAAATTATCTGAGCCGGGCATAGTGGCGCACACCTGTAATCCCAGCACTCAGGAGGCTGAGGCAGCAGGATTGCTGTGAGTTTGAGACCAGCCTGGGCTACACAGTGAGTTCCAGGTCAGTCTCAACTACATAGTGAGACCCTGTGTCAAAAAAAAAAGGAAAATTATCTGAGATGCAGCTGAGAGGACTATTGGGGCATAATGGTAGAGGCTACTACTGAAATTCTGGGGTGCTAACTACACTTTGTTAGGGTTACTTGCTCTACCTTGCAGGAGTCAGAGCATCCCCACAGGGGATAGATGGATGACAGTCCTTGCCTGAATGAGTGAGAAGGCCAGTAGGCAGCACCTGCGCCCATCCCTCCCCTGTGACTCCTCCATTTAAAAGATTGAGTGGCACTTTTTTACAGGAATAAAAAGCCACAGACCTGTGAAGCGACAGCAGAAGACACAGAGGCTGCATGTATCCTATGAGGCCTTGAATGGTGAAAAAAATGAGGGGGCTGAGCCCCTTGCAGTGACAGTTTGGGAGCCCCAGGACTGGCAGCAGCAGCTAGCCAATATTCGCACCATGAGGAGCAGGAAGGATGCACCTGTGGACCAGCTGGGGGCTGAGCACTGCTATGATCCCAGTGCGCCACCAAAGGTAGGCAGGGGCCCTACCTCTCCAGGTGACACCACTCCCCTAAAAGGAAGACACTTGCTTTCTCTCAGGCCTCTGGCATAGGACAGCCTGAGATCGGGCAGCTCTTAGCTGGCACCCTGCTATACAGACAGCACACAGCAACCTCACACACACACACCCTCTTACCCTTGGTGAGTAGAAGGTCCAGGGGGACAAAGAGAAGGTGGGTGGAGGCCTTGACTGGGGCCTGGCCCAAAGTGAGCTCCCAGAACCCATTGCACCCTGGTCCCTGTCATTGTGCAAGCAGGTGCGGAGATACCAGATACTACTGGCCCTGATGCTTTCCAGCCAGACCAAAGACCAGGTGACAGCGGGTGCCATGCAGCGACTTCGGGCACAGGGCCTGACGGTAGACAGCATCCTGCAGACAGATGACAACACACTGGGCAAGCTCATCTACCCTGTGGGATTCTGGAGGGTGAGCCTGGCCCGTGGCAATGGGACTGGGGTGACATTGGCTTGGCACAGACGCATAAGGCAAGGAGTAAGCATCTCTGACCACAGCTCCTTATGCCGGTAGGGTGGGGTGGAGGCAGGCTTTGTGGTTGGTACTCTTTCTAGAACTCCTTGACCTTTCCTGTTTGCTCCCCTTCCTTCCTCCACCTCCCCGCCCAGCTGCCTGCCCTTCCTTTCCTTCCCCTTTGTTTACTCCAATCCTCCCTGGAGAGCATCACCCCAAAGAGGCTCCCCCATCCCACAGAGCACTGCGTGGTGGGTGGACAGATCTGTTAAAAGTAGCTCATTGGGTGGGTCTGTTTCTACTTAACCATGGTGTGGGCTGTAGTCAGTCAGACAGGTTTTAAATAGCCCTTTCCACTCAGGCCCAGGATGGGAACCGCCTGGCTGGCTCAGCAGCTGGTGGGGGAGTCTGGGGCTTCAGCTTTCCTTGCTGAATGCCCAGGTACTGAGGAGCCCAGCTCCTGAGAATGGCTGGGCTGTTCAGCCTGGCCCAGTCTCTGGGAGGAATGCTGGGGCAGAGGGACACAAGCTAGGCCCCATAGACATGTCATTGGTCTGTGTGGACTTGTGGCAGAGGTCTAGCCCTGCCTTGGGTCCTGTCAAGGGCTTCCTTTAGATCTCCCTGCTGCCCTTGGCTCCTTCCCATCTGCTGTGGAGTAGAGAGAGCGGATACTTCTGCCTGAGTCTTGCACAGGTGACAGGCAGCTCTGGGCCCCTATGGGCTTCCTCAGAGCCTTTTCCTCACAAATCAGGCCACATCTCCCCACCCCAGGGCTGACCCCTTTAAATATCTTTCAGAGCAAGGTAAAGTTCATCAAGAAGACGAGTGCTATCCTGCAGCAGCGCTACGATGGGGACATCCCAGCCTCTCTGGCAGAGCTGGTGGCACTGCCAGGTGTCGGGCCCAAGATGGCACACTTAGCTATGGCTGTGGCCTGGGGCACAGTGTCAGGCATAGGTGAGTGGCACATGCCAAAGGAAGGAATGACAGGCTTTAGGCTTGCTGGCTACTGGTGAGAATCCCTGCATCCTTATGACCTATGACCTAGCTCCAGCCTCCTCACCCAAGACTTAGGAAGGTCTTCCCAATGCTAAGCTGGCCAGCCTGCAAGAGATGGATACTGACAGCAGGAGCTCAGATTTGCTAAACACCTACTACCCGCTGGCTTCTGTGAGGAGCCCTGGGGCTCGATGAAGGTGTGTGCCTCCTGCTGGAGAGAGATTCAACAAGGATTGCCTCACCTGTGGGTGGAAACACATGCTGCAGAGCCTGACTTGGGCAGATAGTGTCTAGGAAGACTTCCTGAGGTTATGTTTCCATATGAGCTCAGAGTAAGGCAGGGTTAGCCAGTCAGAGAGGAGGAAGTGAATTCCAGACAGAAGGAACAGCATCTGCAAAGCTGTGCAGTGGGTAAGAGGTCAGGAGCAGGAAGCTCTGAAGTGAGAGCTGAATGGAGAAGTTTGGGGCAGGCACAGGGCCCCCCATGGAACCCTTTTCCTGGATGTCTCTTGCTGGCATTAGAGATTGCAGTGTAGAGGTACTGAAATGAGGCAGACTCCCTGGGGTGGGGATGGTGCTGCTTCTTTGTTGGACCTTTACCCAAAGAAACTGAGGCTCCTGTAGCCACACGGCAGCCAGGCCCAGCCAGCCCAGAAACCAGGAAAGTGAAACCAGCCTCCCCTTGCCCCTGACTCTAGGCTGCTGTAGGTTTCTGCAGGAGCTCTGGTGGTGGGGATTCTCTCTCTCAACAGGTCCCTGGGCAGGCAGCCCTGCAGCATTCCCTGACAGGCAGGAGAGCAGCTCAGGGCCCAGAGCTGTAATTGGGAGCTGGTGGCTACCATTGAGACTGGAGAGTAGCAATACCTAGGAAAACCAGGATGGGCAAGAGCAGGGCACAGCCTCCTCCCCTACCTCAACTCTCTATAGTGCCACCTGCCAGCCTCCTGGAAGACACTTGAGCTTGTCTGGGCACTGTCCTCAGCTGCCTAACCATATCCCAGGAATGCTGTGTCACGTTAGAGCACCTCTGTCTGGAAAGGGCCCATGTCCAGGTGGGAGACGATATTTTGAGCACAGTAGACATGGCACAAAGGAGTGTTAGAAAGTCACTCTGGTTGTCTATGCTTGATCATCACAGAGACCCCAGGGCTGCTTCTTAGGGGAGATAAAAAGTTCTCTTCACATAAAAAGCTAGAGCTATAGGTTCAGGAACCCATCCCAGCTCTTCTACTTCTAGCTGAGCAACCTTGGGTCAGGCACTTGGCTGACCCTTCAAAGCCATACTTAACAGATATGTCAGAAGCCCTTTAGGTCAGCACAAGAGTCTCACATACGATGTGGCCCTGGACTGAGCCCCTGGATGTCCTAAGAAACGTGGTTGCCTCTGTGTTAGGAGGGATCAATCTCAGGGTTTGTGAAGTGTGATCCTAAGCCATCATGCTCAGCCTGCAACCAAGGTTCCCAAGTGTTGGCAAGGCAAGGGAGCCACTGCAGGGATTAACTTCTATTGCTGAACCCTGGAGAAGAAAGCAGGTGGGATTGCAGCTGGCACGATGCCTGGACCAGGTGAGGAGGCCCTAGTGAGTAGGCACCTGGGCTGAGCCTCTGCAGTGGGCAGATGATGGGAGCAGGAGCTGAGGCCCAGGTGGACCACAGCTGCAGCAGGCCTGGCCATACTCCCTACTCTGTCCCTCATAGCTACAGTGGCAGATTCTAGCTCTGCAGCAGTGATCTTAGGCCAGCCTGCTGGATCCAGTTGCTGCTATCCAACCTGGTACCCACAGCCAGTTCCTGGGCCAGGAGTGACCCAAACCACAGGAGATGGGGCAGAGGAAGCAGGGCAAGCCTTTCATGGGCCGGACATCATTTCTGGGGAAATTATGGGCTCAGAGTACATGCTTTTATGGGTTTTTGTTTTTGTGAGTTTTTTTGTTTTTTTCTGTAATTTTTTGGTGCTGGGGATCAAACCCAGAGCCTCAGAAGTGCCAGGAATACTCTACCCTAGATAGCACATGCTTTGGAGTGAACCTTGCTTGATCTGTTTTTTACACCCATGGATACTTTGTAAAGCCTTAGTATGTCAGGCTTGATGGTGCACACCTGTAATCCCGGTACTTGGGAAGCTGAAGCAGGAGAATCACTCCAAGTTTGAGGCCAACCTGAAGTACATAGAAAAACCCTGGCTCAAAACAAAACCTGGCTTGGTGGCACATCCCTGTAGTCCCAGCACTCAGGGAAGTGGAGGCAGGAGGATCACCCAGAATTCGAGACCAGCGTAGGCTACATCATGAGTTCAAGGCCAGCTAATTAGTGAGACCCTCTCTCAACTGAAAGTAGAAATAAGGACCAAAATTATAATAGATGGGAAATGGGAAGAAAATATTCAAATGAGAAGGGGAACGAGGGGAAAAGAAAGAAGGGACAAGGAAAAAAATAGAAGGGAAAAATAGAAACAGCTTTTATAAATAGTCAAAGGAAGGGGGAAATGAGAATAAAAGAAGCCAGATTGGGCCGGGGATTTAGCTCAGTGGTTCCGCCACCTGCCTCGCAAGCACCAAGACCTGAGTTTGAGTTTGATCCCTGGTACCAAAACAAAACAAGCAAGCTATATCATGTACAGGTATAAAGTCCTTATGATGAATGCTTTCATTATATTTAAAATGTACCAGTAAAGGTTTTGCTTCAAAAATAAAAGCCGGGCATGGTGGCACACGCCTGTAATCCCAGCTGAGGCAGGAGGCTGGAGGGTCGCTGTGAGTTCGAGGAGACCAACCTGGGCTACATAGTGAGTTCCAGATGATCAGTCTCAACTACATAGTGAGACCCTGTCTCAAAAAAAAAAAATAGACCCTCTCAAAGCAAAAAAGTCAGAAAAGACTTAATGAGCTAAGACTGATGGTTTTCAGCGTGGGATCTGACCCCAGCAAGCCCTTGACCCAAGTTAGCTGTTACTATTGTTGGAGCAGAGTCTAGGGCAGAGATACCTTCCTACCTACCCACCATCACGATTGCTGGGACTGGGCTCTACCAGCTTCCCTGACAATGGGAGGGAGGCCTGCAGGGGGCTGCCCAGCTTCCAGGGAGAGGCTCCAGGTCCAGCCTAGCAGCTGAGAAGCGGCAGCTGCTCAGATGGGCAGCCAGGGCTGTGTAGTTCCTATCATTGCTCTGGAGGCCTAGCGTGGGTGACTCAGCCCCCCGCCATGTACTACTCAAGGTTTTGGGCGGTAATAGTTTGGCATAGTACACTGGCTCATCCTGACCTGTTTCTACACAGCAGTGGACACACACGTGCATAGAATTGCAAATCGACTGAGGTGGACCAAGAGGATGACCAGATCCCCAGAGGAGACCCGCGCTGCCCTGGAGGAGTGGCTGCCCAGGTACATTCAGCGGAGGGGTATTGTGATAGATGGGGCCTCCCCTTCCTCTTTCCACATTGACATGGCTGTCACCTCCACAGGGAGCTGTGGCGTGACATCAACGGGCTGTTGGTGGGCTTTGGCCAGCAGATCTGCCTGCCCATCCACCCTCGCTGTCAGGCCTGCCTCAATCAGGCCCTTTGCCCTGCTGCCCAGATCCTCTGAGAGCTGTGGGGCTGCAGCTTGGGTCCTGGCTGTTACCTATGAAGTGCCTTTGTCTGGGGAGGAGGGGTGTCACCACCTGTATAATAAAGCTTGGGAGTCCTTCGCAGTGGAGGTCTGGCTCACTTCTAACCCCAGGGTCTGGGAACAGTCAGGAAGCACGTGTGGATACTGTTCATGGGTGTTGGGCTAGTTCCCTGGGAGGCTGGGGAGTATGACAGTCCTTGCTGTGTACTCACGGAGGGAGGAAATAGTGACAGCCAGCTGCTAGGAAGCTTACAGTCAGTCTCTGACTTAACATTCCAGTTGTGAACTCTGACAGAAAGGAATAGACCTCCCATTCCAAAATTCACAGGTGCAGACAAATCATGGAAGTAGTTCACATGCCTGTTTGTACTGTACTGTACCACCATTTTAAGGTAACTATAAAAGTAAAAATGGTTTATTTACAGTATTTGTATGAATGTGTTTGGTTTTCTTTATGCTTTACATTGTTTGTCAAAGGTGTGTAAGATTCACTTTCACACTTAAAAACAAATCTGACCTATGAACATTCCCCTGGAATGGAACTCATTCATTCACAAGTCAGGGACTTACTGTACTGGGAAAGTGTCCCTGTGGTCCCTCACACTCGCCCATCTGTAGGCCCATTAGCTGCTCAGCCCAGACTCTGCCAGCTCCTGCACTATTACACCCTGAGATCGGCCTCTGCCAGGCTCCCACCTCCATGTTCACAGAGACACTTGTTTTGACATCAGGGCACAAGCCTTGGCCTCTGTGGAGGGTAGCCTGTGGGCTCACCAGGTGGAGGAGATGGGCAGATGCCCCAGAATGTGCTAAAGAGGATGGGGCAGGGTGGGTCTCAGGAGTGCAGGGGTCCCAAGTGGGAGCAAGAGCTGAAAGCAGCAGCCCTGACTGCAGCCCCAACCACAGGATCCCCTAAAATGGGCCTCATCCATCCACTCCCTACCTCCCAACCAGAGACTCAAAAGAAGACGTAGTGCTAGGTTCCAAGGCAAGGTCTGTTTATTTTTAGGGCGCGCATGCGCTATGGCTTACAAGGCAGACAGCAGTGCCGGTCCATGTAGGAGTTCAGGGAATTGAAAGGGCAGAGTCAATAGGATGTCCGTAGGGATGGATGCCGGGCAGGCATAAGGCAAAGAAAGGCTAGGCCTATAGGCTTGGGGTCCTTCATAGGGATAGTTCTTATGTCCACATTTCCCAGGCCTAGGAGCTGGGGTGCAGGAAGGGGGGCCTGTCCAGAGACTGCCCTTCTGGGAGCATGGGCCTCCATCCTCAGGCCCCTCATAGAGCCCAGGCCCTGTACTCCAAGCCCTTAGATGGGCAGGGGGCTGGGGCCTGGCCTAGTGACCCTCCACACAAGGGAAGGCAGCTCCTACAGGCACATCTGGCCTCCCCAGCCTTTCCCCAAAAAAGCTCACATGAACACGGCCTGAGAGCCCCTGGCCCTCTGTCCCCTGGAAGCTCCTGGGCTTCTCTCAGGATGGTGCTGCTGAGGAGGTGGGGAGGAGACGGTTTGCAGAGAAAGGTTTGTTTTATTGCAGTTATTTTGAAAGCAAGTCATGGGGGTAGGAGAGCTCTGGTATTAAATGGAAACGTGTGGTGCCGGAGATCTTTTTGGGAAAAAAGCAAAAACAAATTTCTTTCAGTCAGCAGTCCTGGGGCAGAGCAGCAAAGGCCCTTGGTGATGTCACACTCTGCCCCCACTCCACCACTGTCTCTTTTTCTCTCACTGTCTCTTTCTGTCTCTGTCTCTCTCCTCACCTTGCTGGGACAGGTCCCCAGCATTGAGCAGGTAGGAGATAAGACAGAGGCTCACTGGGGCACAAGTTGCTTTCTGGATAGAGATGACACCACCTTTCAGTCCACTGAGGCTTGGGGAGCTCTGAACAGGCCAGAGATCCCACGTAGGCCCAAAGAGGCAGGAGGGGCTCAGAAGTTGCTGAAGATCTCACGCTTCCGGTTCCAGTCCATCTGGGGCGCCCGCTTGTTGACCCGTGTGGCCCGAGCCTTCTCCTTCGCCTCAGCTGCTGTGGGGCTCAGGTGGAGTCCACTTTCCTGGAATGGATCTCGCTTCCAGGTACTACCATCCTGGAGGCAGGTAGGGCAGGCAAGGTGCCAGAAATGAGCTCTGGACCTGGGCCCCAGACAGGCACCTTCCCAAGAAGCTTATACCAAAGGCTGTTTGGGGGAACGGGGCAGTGGACACAGGAGGGCTTCCTGGAGCCCCACTGTCCAGGCTGGGATCTCCACAGACACACCTACCCCTAAGGCCTCTGGCACACCCATGTTTGAGCATAGCAGCAGTTACCTCAGTGTCCTTGTCTGAGCCTGGTAGGTCACTTCTGGATGAGCGCACTGAGCCACCATTGAGCTGGGAAACCAAGAGCAAGGCAGGGCTTCAGGGTTCTCTCGCAGGGAGCCACTAGTATACATAGATACACACATGCACACATACTACACCTGAGCGTGCATACCTTTTCTCACCACAGCTACACGTGCTCCTTTGCACACACCACCCCTTTACACATGCTCACAACTGCATCTACTTTGGGAGTAAGTACCAACGCTCTGCTGCTGTCCAGACCCAGCAGTGGACAGGCAGGTGGCCAGCCCTGGCTTGTCACAATATGCGAGGGCAGCTACAGTGCCGGAGTCACCCATGAGTATCACCTGGGATGAAGCCAGGGCCGCCTTCCAAGGAGGTAGGGACTGCAGGATGAAACAGTAGCCAAATAGTACCAGGAACCAGAGCTCGAGGTGCCTGCTGACCTTGTGTGACTAGGGCATGGTGCTGACCCAGGACAGGATCCCTACAGTGGGTATTAAAGCTGGGCTGATAGGGCCAGACATGGGTCTGGGTTTTGCAACCAGACCTACTCAAGAGTAGAGATCCCCAGGGGAAGGAGAGCCTCTGTCAGGCCTGGGGCCCCAGAGGTGCACCTATGGTCACCAGGGCCCACCCTCTCACCTGGGCAGGGCTGGTCCCATTGGTAACTGGTGATGGCAATGGACCTGTGGGGACAGCACGTCAGTGGCTGTTCTCTTTCCACACTGACCCTCCCCCGTGCCCCCAGGCACCGGCCCACCTTCCACATGCTCTTCAGTGGGCGTGACCCGCAGCCTCTTGAAGTACTCATCTGTCTCAGGGTCCACCACCAGCATCCGAGCCTCATGCTCCCGAGCCTTGATCCTTGCAACAACCTCAGCATGGCGCAGCCCCTCCACATTCTGCCCATTCACCTGCCAGCACCAGCACAGGGTCAGCAGGGCCCAAGGGGCCCAGCCTGCCCCACACCACCTAGACAGGTGTGCCATCAAATATTCATCAAAGCCACCACCAGCTGAGGCAGCAAGAGGAATGTCAGCTCAGGTTCCCAGTGTCTCCCCTCCTTTAGCAAGGACCCAAGGCCCAAACATGAACACACATGGCACATCAGTGGGCACAGTACCTCAATGAGCCGGTCCTGGGCACGGAGACCAGAGTGGGAAGCAGGTGAGCCTGGGTCCACAGAGCGGATGTACTGGCCAGGCCGGGACTTGTCACTGTGCAGATTAAATCCATAGCCCTGAGGTCCCTTTTGAAGGTGACAGAGCCGAGGACGAAACTCTCTCGGGGGCCCATTGACATCCTGCAGTCACAAGGCACATAAGATCAGGCTCTAGCGTCCCAGCCCTAGCAGCCACTCATCTGGACACCACCTACCACCCCAGCAAGGGTTCCCAGGTCTCAGCAACAAACACACCATGTAGGGCTGGGGATGGAGCTCGGTGGCACTGTGCCTGCCCTGCAAGCACAAGGTCCTGAGTTCAATCCCAGTACCAAAAAAGATACGGAACAAACACCATGTGCTGGGAAAATTCACACTCAAGGCAGTGCTGTGTGTTGGCTGGTGATGTAGGAAGCAGCCAGGTGAATTAAGCTGCCATCCATCACAGTGACTGAGCAACCGAGATGGCTGTACCCCCAAGCCTGCCAGTGACCCCACCTCCCTGGCTTTCTGCCTCACTTCCAAGGCCTGGTCAGCTGTCTTTCTCCAGAAGGTCTACCGTGAGCTGCAGTCTGTAGTGGCTGTGTTTGCCTTCACATTCCAGGGCAAAGCAGAGCCAGTCCCACCCCTGCAGCCCAGAAAGAAGGGGCCGGAGCTGGAAGGGAGCCCCAGCCCCACCCCCACCACCCTAGCCCAGACACAGGAGCACTCAGTACCACCAGGGAACCCCCACTGCCGCCCAGGGCCCTACCTCACTTTACCTCTGGCATCCTGCAGCTGGGCTCTGGGCCAGGGGACTATGTAGACGGGGCCCAGTGACCCCCACCCAGCAAGCAACCAGAACACTGACTGTAGTGCTGAATGGCCAGCGGCTGCTGGTGCCCAGTTACACAAGGGGGTGGCTAGGGTGAGTAGGCAGGTAGCAGCTCAGGTTTCTGAGGGCGTGTGCAGGTGACGGTGTGCTGGTCCCTCCCTCACCTTCCATCTCCCTGAATCTTGTCCATTAGGGATCCTAGGCCAAACTAGGGCTGGGGACAGCCTGGGGGAGGGTCCCTCAGTCTCAGGGAAGATCTCTAAGCCATGGGCACCTGCCTTCCAGTAGCCCAAACCATCCCCTGGCTGCTCCAGCTGCCCAATCTTTGAGCTCATTCCAAACCCCAAATCTGACTAGGAAGATCCTTGTGTGTGTAGCTATGCAGCTGTGGAAGCAAGGGTGTCTTCCTGCTGCTGTGCCCCAGGGTTCTGGGCCTATTCCTCAGCCTGCCCATCCTGCGTCCCTTCTCTAGACCCCCTTCTCTGACCCCAAAGCCTGGCCAGACACCTTGTTTAGAGTCTCCTGCTGACCCTTGGAACCACTGATGTGTGGCCACCATCTGGCCCCATTTAGAAATGGCAGGAACTGCTGCTCCTCAACTCCCCAGAGGCTCAGATGAGCATATACAGGCTGAATTTCAGGGTAGAAGACCCCCAAAGGCCATGCTACATCGATTCATTCTCTCTTCCAACAGACCTGGAGGTCCAGGTGAGGGGCTTTGGAATAGGCCTCGACACCTCCCTGCAGAAGTGTTGCTCAGGGACATACCATCAGGCATAGCCTGGGATGGGAAGGAAGAAACAGACAGAAGCCAGAGCCAGCTCAGAGCATAAACATGAACATGTGATGTGACCATGCCTAGCTCGGGGACATGGCCCAGGATGCAGGGCCACATCACATGGTCACAGAGACAAGACAGCCAAATTTATACTTTTAAACATCTTACAGGAGGCCACAGATTTAGCTCAGTGGTTCTGCTGCCTGCCTCAAAAGCATAAAGACCCAAGTTCAATCCTCCCCCTGTACCAAAAAAAAAAAAAAATCCTACAGGGACACACACAGCCACCTACACATGCAAACACTGGTCCCGTGACGCCAGCCTGTGGCCTCTTCCCACAGCCTGTGCAACAGCCTGCAGGGCGGAGTCTCTTAAGGCCCCCAAACGGGAAGCAGGATTTGGCGGGGGTATCCGGGGCCATGAGGCCAGGCTAAGGCCATATCCGTGAGGACACACACAGCCACCCACACATGCAAACACTGGTCCCGTGACGCCAGCCTGTGGCCTCTTCCCACAGCCTGTGCAACAGCCTGCAGGGCGGAGTCTCTTAAGGCCCCCAAACGGGAAGCAGGATTTGGCGGGGGTATCCGGGGCCATGAGGCCAGGCTAAGGCCATATCCGTGCTCTCAGGACCATTCTGGCCATCCCCCCACCTCAATGCAGAACACCCGCCTCTCATCACACAGGCCAAGAGATGCCTGCTAATTACTAGCATAAGTCCTCTCATTACAAAGCAGATCCAAGGGGTGCCAGACTTGGCACAAGACCCTCAAATGGAGGGACTGCAATGCAGGGGACCTGGCCAGCCTGCATGGGGGGGCAGTGGCGGCAGGGGCACGCAGTGGGGGGGTGCATTACTCAAATTCCTTCTCCCAGGCTTGGCTCTGCACATTTCCTGCTGCCTCCCTCTAGGCCCTCTGGTTCCCACAGGCTCCCAGCCTGATGGCCGAAGTGGTGGGCAAGCCCTGGTCCCTTTGCTCAGCCTGTGGCCTTAAGATTGCCCCAAGAGTCAGTCTGTGCACCCTCCCCAGATGGTGACTCACCAGTCCTGACAGAGAAAGGCCCCCATTGTTGCTCGGGGTCCAGCCTACTTACACAAAGGTCCCCAAGTCCTCTCTCCCTCCCCTGGAGGAATGAGCAGAGGCTGGGGTCCTCCCAAGCCCAGCCTTTCCCCTACTCCACCTGACCTGTGCAAGCCCCCAGGGTGGGCTCTGTGGAAGGGCTCCTGGAGCTGGGATGGGTGGTGTGGAATTCCTGGAGCGGGCCATGAGAGGCAGGACAGAAAGAGCAGGCAGTCAGCCTACAGACTGGATGGCCAGCCTGGGCTGCCACCCCACTTATCTACCTCCTGTGGTAGCCCAGGTTCCCTGGAGGATGGGTGGGGACATACGCTGAGTCACTTTGGGGCACAGGGTGGTGACTGAACCCTGTCCCCTGCAGAGACTCCAACCCAGCACCCCCCACCTAAGTAGGTTTCCCTCCCAAGAAAGGAAGGAAGGAAGCCACTGGGAGGCCCTGCCCTGCTGTGGACCTAAGGCTGGGGAGACAAGAAGGCAAGTGGGGGAGTCCCCAGCCCCAGGAGAGCGGGCAGTCCTGCTGTGGCTCATACAGCAGAAGAGGGCTGCAGCAGCCTGGGACGCCCAGAAGCCCTCTTGTAGGCGCTGCATCCAGTACCCTGCAGCCATTCACCTCTTGCCCAGTGAGCCCCCAAACCCCACCAGATGGTGTGGTCACAGCTGGGGTGGGATGGGGTGGATGGCAAGGATCTGTCACGACTTCCCTGGACCTGGCACTGCTGACTGCCCTGTTTCTGTTTGGGGGCTGTTCCTGTCGTCACTGCTAGAATCAGCTGTACTGCAGCTGCAGCCTCCCCCAGCCTCATGTGGCCCTGGGATGAGTCACCACTGACAAGGCCTTCTAGGCCCCCAAAGGGAAGGACAGACCAAACCAGTGTCCTCCAGACCCCACCATCCCTACCCAGCCTTCGACAGAGGACACTTGAAGCACAGAGAGGGCAAAGGCAGCTCTTGCTTCCCTTAGGGCACCTAGTGGGGCCCACACATATCTCCTAGATCTGTCCCTCTTTCACAAACACCTTCATCAGATCATACTACCCACCCTCCCACACTCTTGCATTCAACCCCAGAGCAAATGGTCTCTAAACCTAGCTTGTGAAAGTCACACACAGGAGGTCTCACAGAGGGCCCAAAGCAGTGACCCCCATCCCCAGGGTCCCTTGACCCCCCAGGCTCCCTGTCTGCAAGTTAGCCTCATCCAAAGACAGACCTGCCCATCACACCCCTCTTTGTTCCTCTAAAAATACGCCCAAAGGAAGGCCCCTCCTAGGGCTTCCTGCAGCCCCCAGAGCCTGAAATAGCAGAGGTGAGGAGGTCCCACCCAAGGCTGAGGTGCCTCAGCCACCCTACCTCTAGATAAGGCCCAAGGGCGGATTTTTCCACAGGAAGGTGAACTCAGCTACCACCGTTTTGTCTAAATCAATGGACAAATGCTGGAGGGGGGGTTGCTTCCTCCTCGGGGAGGAAGGGAGGAGGTGCCCAATCCTCAGCCAGGGGAAGGGGGCTGTGGGACCAGCTGGCCACCAGCAGGACTTCCCTGAAAGACTCCCGAACATCTCTCCATCCCAAGACAGGCTCCACAGGCTGAAATCCCAGGCACACTAGGGATAGGGAAAGGGAATAGGCAGATCTTAAGGTCCTCTGCACACACTTCAGATCCGATAATGCCAACACCCCTAGGCTACTTTGTCTCAAAGTAGGATCTGGGGATCCCCTGGATTTAAACCCCTTGGGGTAGTTGTGATGGGGTTCTGGGTAGGAGGGACAGGTCAGGGCCTCCAGCAGGTAGAACAAACAGCCCCAGGCCCTTCCTCCTGGCCTCAAGGCACACATCCCAGGTACTGGAGCTACCTGGATGAAGGTGGGGCAGGCTCTCTTTTGTTCTAAAGACAAGGTCTCTCTGTAGTTCAGACTGGCCCTAGGCTGGCCTCAAACTGGCAGCGTTGCTCCTGCCTCAGCCTCCCAAGTGCGGGGATTATAGGCATGTGCCACCACCAATGGCTCCCCTGTTCTTCTCTGGGACTGCACCTGGAAAGGAGGCAGGGATAAGGGGCAGGTGTTACACAAGAGGGACACAGCTGAGTGGGGTGGTGGACACTGTAATCCCAGCACTTGGAAAGTCGAGGCAGAAGGATTGCCGTGAATTCAAGGCCAGCCTGTGCTACACAGCAAGCCTTAGTCTCAAAAAAAAAGGAGCACAGAGGCCTCTTTTATATGGGGCAGGCACCCCATTAGGACCCAATCCATGAAGGGCAGGGCCAGCACCCAATCAGTTCTTTGCAGTGGTTGCTCAGCACTACCCTTATTTGTTAGCCCACTCCACTCCAGCCATGTTGGGCCCCCAATTCAGTGTGTCCTCAGCTCCTCCCCACCATAACACGGCCCGCAGAGGAAGCAGCCTCCTATAGGCCTTCCCAGGACACACAGACTCCCAGAGCCCCTGACAGACACCCAGCACAGACTGGGCAGGTGAGGTCCTGGAACAACCCACCAACTCCACCCAGGCCTCCTCAGGCACTGGGCCCTGGGGTGGAACCTGATGGGAACAGAAAGAGTGGCCCCAAGTGGCCTAGAGGGTGGTCATCAGTAGCAGAGACAGTGATCACTGCAGCAGAGAAGGGGCCAGGCCCCAAGAGGCAGAAGAAACAGCGGCTTGTAGAGGTGACCAGAAATACAGACTGTCATAAGAAGGCTGAGATGGTGACTCTGGGAGCAGCTAAGGGGCCCCATAGCCAGAGCCTAACGTACCTTTTGGTCAGCATCAGAGCTGAGGCTGCCCCCATGTGCCCACTCAGGCTTCGGTTCCCAAGGCCCATGGGCCAGTGGAAGGCCTCGATGGGCCATCTCCTCAGTGCAGGTCAGCTGCCGCCGGCGAAGCTCCTCATCCGTCTCCTTGTCTACCACCAGCAGCCGTGTCTGCCCTTCCACGGCCTTGATCCTCTGTACCACCTAGGACAGGCGGGTGGTGGGAGAGGGTCAGCAGCCAGAACCCTGGACAACACATGGACACTGGCACCACCCTGGGCTGACCCAGGCTCAGAGGCTAGTCTGCAGGGGTGGGCAGCTGGACTGAGAGGCTCCACCTCCCCATCCCCAGGCTCCAGCAGCACCCTCCCTCATCTTGGAACTCGTTGATTGCAAAGGCTTTACGGTTCTCTCAGTCCTTGGCCTCAGCCCAGAGTCTTCTCCAAGAGTGGCTTGGAAGGGGGGGATTGGAAGGAGCCATAGGCTTACAGCTAGTGGAGAGTGAGTCTGCCTGAAAGTGGCAAGGATACGCCTCGCTGGGCTTCAGGTTTTCAGTCTGAGTGTATATGCACATGCGTGTGTGTACATGTGCATGCTCTCGTGCACATATCTGTTTTGGTCTCTCTACCTGGTATGCAAGAGAGGAATATCCCTTGGTGCCACTGTGGTATGCTTGGACCTGTTTCTGTCTCCAACGTAAGAGTCTAAACTCCTGTCTCTGGGCCTCCCATTCCCTCCAGACCAGGGACCCATTCCTGCTGGATCTGTAGAAAGTGAAGATTTGAGTTTCTGGCTCAGGTACCTCCACACATCCCAGCAGAATTCAGTCCCAGCAACCATTCCCCTCCAGACCAGGGACCCATTCCTGCTGGATCTGTAGAAAAGTGAAGATTTGAGTTTCTGGCTCAGGTACCTCCACACATCCCAGCAGAATTCAGTCCCAGCGGGTGAGGGGGCCAAGTGCAGGTACACTGTCCATATGTCTAAGTAGATGCCTATGAAATGTAGTGAGCAGGCAGGCGGGAGCAGGCAGGGTGTTTGAGTGAACTCAGAGGGAGAAAGAGAAGTGCCTGCTAGCACAAGGTAAGAAGGGTGACGACCCCAGCCCCGCCTCGAGGCCCTCACCACTGTTCTGCTCAGCAGATGTTGTCAACACATAGATAGGAAGGTCTGACCAAGGCCTATCCTCTGTGGTCCCTAAGGTCCCTCTTCTCTCCCCATGACCCAGCGAGTGACAGGAGGAACCCAGCATCCTGCTATTTCCTGATGTGGGACCTGGGTAAATTATCTATAATTTCAACCTATTAGTTTCCTCATCTTTAAAATAGGGTTTGTAGGACGGGATTTAGCTCAGTGGTTCACCCGCCTGCCTTGCAAATGCAAGGACCCTAGTTCAATCCCCGGTACCAAAAATAAATAAATAAAATGGGAGTTTTAGCTGTACCTGCTCCCCTCCTGAGACAGCAGGGAGAGTTTGTTATGGTTCTGTGTGAAGTTCTTGGACACCAGCAACCCAGAGGAATAAGCAGGTGCACTTGGGGTGAGGGTGGCAGTGACTCTCAAACAGAAACCAGGAAACAGCTCTCCCAACCTCTCCTCAACTGCTGGACCAACCCTCTAGTTCCCTACCCCTACCCTTTTTCAGCACATAGCCATATTCATTTGATGCTCTAAGAAAAAGACAAGATAGACAGACTGCTGGGGGAGATACTTCAGCTCCTGACCTAGCCAAGAACCAGTCTGCTACCTCCAGGACTGGTCACAAAGACAGGTCCTGACCTGGCTGGCTGGCGCTGTGAGGGACACAAGAGACCTGTAAGCAGAGATTGTGGAGGAAGGCTGGACCCCAGCCAGCATCTGGGGTGAGTGCACTGCTGCCAGCCAATGAAAGACAGATACACGAGGGGGCAGGGAGAAAAGCATGCATGCACTCTAGGCCTTCCTCCAGCTGCAGAAGGCAGGGGCTTTGGTAGTGACCCCAGCCCAGGCAAAGAGCCTCAGAGAACAGGAAGGTGCCTCAGGAGCCAAGGAATGTGCTGCCACACCCAGCTGGGATGCACATTAGTACACCGGCTTCAGACAATGCCAAGTACACATAGCCAGACATGCAGACGGGTGCACACATACACATACAGAGCCCAGCTCACATATGACAGGTACGCAGAGGTGTCCAACCCAGTCCTAGACACACAGTCCAGCACACAACCAGGCACAGGTGTACCCTTAATGTGACCCTTTCCTGGTACACACTGGCAGATATGTGCACACACGGATAACCCCAGAGGGACCTACACCCTCACCCTCACACACATTCACAGTTGTGTACACACTCAGAAAAGCCCTTTTACCAGGATGTCCCAGTGTGGCCAAACCCCGACACAGTCTCACACTGAGGCCAAAGCACACAAGAAGCCAAGAGCCAAAGCCGACGGCCAGAACAGCCGCAGTGGCCCCTCCCTGCCAGGATCCCCCATACACACACACGTGCAGCACTGGGCTTCCCTGCCAGGAGCCGGCCAGACCACATCCCCCATTTCTCCACGGAGCCTACACAGGCCACCGAGCGCCACCACCCCTATGCCTGGCCGGGGCAGGGTTTGGCGAGCCAGGGTTCTCTGCACCCCGGGGGAGGGGCCGGCCCGGGGTGGGCGCAGGCACCCACCT